CTCCAACCAACCTTTCAGACCTTTACACAACAGTTGCATTTATACTTAAATTGCACAAAGTGTAATTGGTTGCACTGATATTTGGGGTCATCAGATTAAAGGGAGCTGAATACTTATACATGCGACACGCAATACAGTAAATTACTGACAATTGTTTTCATACTGAAAAAAATAACTTCAAGGAAATTTATCACAGCAGGTAAATCTAACCCTAATTTTGAGACTTCAAAGTTTTAATTAAACATTGCTCAACATGATTTCTGCTCCTTTGAAAATTAGAATCGGAAGCATATTGTTTGCATGGGATGTAGAGTAAGACGAGAGTGTCCTTGTGCTTTAATGTGTTTGGATGGAAGGTTTCATCAATTGTGAGCTTGTTAAAACGCAAAAAAAGAAAAAAAAACAGAGGAAGAAACCATAAAGGAAAACAACGATTAAGAAAACAGAGTGGGAGATGTAGGTCTCTGCTACTTCCAGGCATTGTGAGAAGAACGGATGAGGGGGGCGGTTGAGGAAAAGTGAGAACATTACTAAACGGGTTCACCAATGGCCGGAAGCCGTTGAGTCTACGCCGTTGGCAGAACCGGGCAACACTCTCTGTGACTTCCTGCATCTAAGCCCATCTGTGAGTGCCCTTCGGCGGCCGACTGGTCTTGTTTGTGATGAAATGAAGAGATTATGTTATTTAAAATCAACATGAAGAGGCTGTACCACCTGTCTGTATTTTACATGTAAGGCTTCCCGCCATTCTGTGGTTTCCTGGTTTGCCTGGAAAGAACTTTTATCCATCTGATAACGTATGGACTGAGGCCATGCTGTGACTTCAAAAGTCCATGTCTGTGCCAAGAGGTTGACAATAACACAGATCTGGGTAAACCGCCTCTTCCTGGTTGGACATATAAGGGCAAACAGCAGAGGAGCAAGAGGAAGAAGGGAGATCCCACGGTAAGCCATTGTGTTTGTCTTTTCTTTGATGGAAACTCAACATAGAGAGAGAATATATGAATAAATGATGCCATTGAAAGATGTTACTGTGGTAAAGCAGTTCAAGTTCATGTTGGGTGCTGTGGGAAGAGGAAGAGGAAGAAGAAGGGAAATAGGGTGGGAGTAGTAGTGGGTAAGAGACAGTTGACCCAAATCTGATCATGCGCAAAATTTTAAAGCCTCTCTTGACCTTCATGTGAAATTCACTGTGGAGGCCGGGGTAGAAAGTAAATTAGGACCAACTTTCCTATGTCGCAACTGTTTCCAAATGATGATTTATTGTACGATTACGGATCATGGGAGTCTTCTTCACTAAACCCTGAATGTAAAACCCACAGGGGGATTCAATGAAGACTTTTCAGCCACAAAATGAGCCGTGTGGAAAACTAAGTACACCCTAGCTGCTTCTGCAGAATTTCGGAGGGAAGCCTGCTTATCAAAGGCACTTTAATGATACACAGATGTGACCAGTTCAATCCAGCAAATCCAGACTGTGCAATTCTCTAAAATAAACTGTGTCAGACTCTTCGGGTCTCAGCAAATCAAATCCACAAAGCTGATTGCAAGACAAGATGATGGACACGTTTTTGGAAGAATCACAAGGGAGGATGATCTATGAAAAATATGGCAGCACAGCTGACTTGTACCTTAATGAACCCCATTCCCTTTGGAGCAATTTTTTTTGGAAAGGTGACAACAGATGGCAACTAGTGCATAGCACCGTGTTTAGAGAAAACTGAGCCATATTATCAGCCCACACACCTCAAACTTTAAACACAGCAGTGAAGTGATGATGTTTTTGCAGCCACAAGACCCAAAAAAAAGAGAGAATACAAATAAAATATATCTTACGTAACCTGATCATCAACATGAAAAAGTAAAGTAATTTTACTCTATATTACCATATTAAATTCTCTCAAATTGCCTAGTGTCTACCTTTCATGCTTTTCTAACCTATCCGATGTCACATAGTATTATATCATATTTTTGTTAATGTATCAAGCTGCATTCCAAATTATAATAAAATTCTAAGATACTCTGTGATGTTGCATTAAGTCAAATCATATCATGTCATTTTGTAACTTTATGGATAATTGTTGTTTCAGGTTGTAATTTAATCTATTTTGTCACATAATTTCATAAGTTAATGTATGATATCACATCATATCCTAATGTCACCTATTGTATAATTTTGCATTATATCATAAATCACTTATTAAATTTGTCTATCATGTTATACCATATGGCATATGCCCTTAGTCTAATTGCATAATTGCCCAAGTCCTATTTTTTAAAATGGGACTTAGGTAATTATGCTAAGAATATCACATTTTAACCTATAATGCGTAGTGTTATATTAATATATCTTGTCACATTGTAACATCGTGTAAAATGTATATCACGATAACGTATCGTCTAACTGTGTGCTTTTATTTTGAAACGCTGCTGTCGTCAGCTACGTCACTCAAAGGAACGCAGCCAGTAGCTGCTGCTGCTGCTGCTAAAGGCCTTCGGATCCCTGACAAAGTAGGTTAACAAAGCTTCAGCAAACACTGAGGATTTCCCGGATAACTTTCACTAACCTGTGGAGGTTTGAACGGAGGTGTAGGCCGCGTTAGTGTGTCTGGTTTCGGGGCGGCGGGTGTGGGTCGCCGCATTGTTTCCTGTTCGGTCGTGTTGAAAGTTAGCCCGGGGGGGGGGGCAAAGGCACGATCTCCGCTCGACTTCATAACACGGTGGGAAACTCGTCAACGGAGCCGCTATTACAGTCAATTACCGCCGCTTTCCCTGCATTGTGGGTTAAATGATGTCATCCGCGGTAAGTTTTTCAGTAATGAGAGGCATGTAACGATTCAGGACGGGATTTAAAGTCAAAGGTTCTTCAGTTTCTGCTAAAGTCACCGTTAACTCAGCTCGGATAGAGAGTGGTTCCCCATCACAGTTTGCTAATGTTTGACTCGGTTTACCGATTTGATTTTGTTCTGTTTGTGTAGATGAGACCAAGACAAAGAGGACAGTAGAGCTGACATAAAAAGGTAGGAAAAGCTTTGCTTTTATTTATATACGAAATTCCACATTCAGTTCCGTTTGTTGTTTATATTTTTTTACACTTGTTTTTTTGTTGTTGTTGTTGTAAGATTAATGTTCTGTTTTTATAGGCACATGAAAATATAAAATCCAAATGTTTGCTTTCAAATTAAAAGCCATTTTCTTATAGAAACATTAAAAAGTTTAATAAAACAAAACAAAAAAATTGCAATTTATATTTGAAACTTTTACATTTTGGACCATATTTATGTTATATACACATATGCCAGCACTAGAGCAGATTTATTGTATTTTTTTTTAAAGTATGCTGGTTATTGTTTTGTTGCTTGATGCTTGTCTAACTTTTTCTTTTGACCTCTAAGCTTTGCAGTGCCTGTCACATATAAACAACAACTACAGCTGTGATGGGATGAAATTGCAGGGATTAATTTTCCTCGGATTTGGGCGTCTGCGCTCATCCAGATTCAGACAGGCAATAAATAATTAAAAAAAGAAAAAGTGGGTTTGGTGGACCCTCCCTCCCCCCTCCTTCCATACAGACACAGTTTGATGAATGCTGACCCTGCAGGGTTTAAATGCCCGACAAAACAGCCACACAGACAGGACGTCTAAAACAACAAAGAAAGTACATTTTGTTATTTGGAGCTATCGTTTTAATCCTCTTAGCCACATGGTTGGTGACACGGTCCACATGCAATCAGTGTGAGTGGGTTGTTACTGTCTCCACGCCGACTTTACATCTGTTTAATTTCGCTTGTGTTTGAATCTGGATAAATTAGATAGTTTTAAGAGCACAAAACAGTTTCTTGTTTAGATGTGATTTTCTCAGTGGTTTTCACTTCAACCTCTAAACTAGGAGTCTTTCATTAGATTTCTATCCATGTCTTTGTTTGTCTTTCCATTTCTCCACCTGTGTCTCCATCCATTCGTCCATTCGTCTGCCCATTTTTCTATCTGTTCAGTTTGGCTTGTGTATGTGCTCTTTCATCATCCTTCTGTCCGTTTGTTGAAAAACTGGGTTAATTTAAACCTGGAAAAGTGTATAATTTTGACTTGAATCTACGTAGAAACTTGAGTCTGAGCACCAGCGTACTTACACAGACACAGACAGGTGGCGCTACATGTTTGAGTACGAAAACCACGATCAGCAACCCGTCAGAACGAAGGAAGCTGAAAACTGAGATAAATGTCTCTTTGACTTTCCTCAAAGCAAGCGGTTAAACTCTGCAGGCATGGAAACCCGAGATGAGTGTTTCTTTCACTGTTCAGAAGAGCTGCTCACAGTAGGCGCCTCTGTTCCCCACTTATTTTCATTTAGTTTATATATAAACTGGGATTAAAAGAACTCATGATCAGTAAAGTTTGTTGTTCCTCAAGTCTCGTTTGATCGTTTCTGTTTGGTGACGTTTTATTACAGACAGCGCTGCGTGCTCGTTGTTTTTCCAATTGGCCCGACTTCTTACTTACATAATCATCATCATATCCCGAAAGCCTTCAGGTGCAGCTCAGCTGTCGGCTTTCGCCGTTGATGTTTATCCCACACGACGCATTGTTTAGAGCCAGGTGTTCGCACGGACACAGATAAATATCACTATGGAGCCGCTTGTCTCGATTTGTCTCGGCTTCAGGTGGAAACGCGCGACACCTGTGTGTAAACACCCAAACACAATAACTATTGTGGATTAACACCTGCTGGCGTTCCTGTGCGTTTGTATGATTTTTTTTTTCTTTTTTGTGGCTCGAGGTGCAAACAAAAGCATTAAACTCATTTCTTTTTTCCTCCTCTTCTTTTCAAAGTCCATTGTTCAGCCTGCGAGCCTCCTGTTACCATAGGAAACAAACTCTGGAGCATCCTGCAGTTTCCATTGGTTACCAGTTACATAAAGAAACAAGAGCCATGTTTTTTATATATATATATATTAAAATTAAAGTGAGAAAAATGAAACGTGTGGTTTTTCTGATCGCAGAATCCTGCCATGTCTGGTCCCACCTGGCTGCCGCCGAGGACTCTGGACAGCCCAGAGCGATCCGTCCCCCAGATGTCCCACTCTGCAGGACCTCCGATCTACCAAACCGTCAACAAGAAGGGCGTGGCCGACTTCAGGCCAAAATACGCTCCCTATGACCAGAACGGAGGAGCGGGGATGACCAACAGGTACATGGCGATGGACCCACAGGTGAGAACGATGCAGTTTACAACATAAGAGATTTCTGATATACGGAGAACAAAATCAGCATTTCAACCCTTTACTTCCTGTCCTGAAGGTTGAGTTTATTCATCCACCTTCTGTTGTAGTTTATGCAGATTCTGTATTAAAAGTCTTTGTTCTAGGAAAAAAAAATCAGTAAAATTGTTGTGAAGTTTCCCTTGAAATCTTCCACATTTTGTTACACATCATGTGGCAAACCAACATGAAGCAGTGTAACTGTGAAGTCAATGGAAATTCTGCTTTTAAACATTTCATACCAAAAGAAATGTTCGGTGTTTGTTTCCAAACCTCCCAAAAGTCAACTCTTCTCTGCCGTTACGGCTGCAGAATTCGACTCCACCAGTTTTCAGGTCTGCAGATGGAAATGTTTGCCCGTTCTTCTTTGGAAAATAGTTCAAGGATGGGGAACATCTGTGCACTTCGGTTTTCAAGCCTTGTTATAGATTCCCAGTTGACTTCGACTTTGACTAGACCATTCTGTCTTAGAGTTTCTAAGAAAAGTCTAGACATGCTCATCGCAGCAACGTGACTAACACTGACTTTGTTTAGTAATCATTAGCAGTGATGACAAGAGGAAGTTTTTAACAAAGAATGTCGTTTGGGCAGATGAGTAAAGTGCTCTCTGTGAATTCTTTATCTTCTGTAAACGTTTTCACCGTTGAACAATTAAACTCTGCTTTAAACCGGTGGATGTTTTAGTTTGAGTCACGGCTCCTTTTTCTCTGTGTTGAAATCGCTTTCTGGGAGAAACACAGCGGAAGACGAGGCTTCAATTTTGTTAGTTTTCACAGCTTTGCTTCTCAAAACTAAATTACTCATTCTGATCTCAGTGTTTTAACCTCAGGAAAAACTGAAGAAGTATAAGCTGTCAGTGATGCTCTTTTCCTTCTTTAACATTTAACAAAATAACTGCATAACTGTTGGATTTTGGCACAAACTTTTTATTTTGAACTCCAAACCTTCAACATAAGTGTCAGTTTACTCTGAAACACATTTTTCAGTAGAAATTAAAGAAGATATTAAACTACTGATTTAAGTGTTCATAACGGCATATAGGCCTGATTATATCAGTTTTATTGTCGTTGTTGCCAGGTGGGCCCGTTCATCACTCTGGTGATCACTACTACTCTCCCCCTCACGGCCCCAAAGACGATCGAGGCTGGAGCTCTCACATGGACGGCTATGACATGATGGTGGGTGAAGTTTCTGCTCGACAGCTTTGGCTGGCGTCACATTTGTTTGACCCCTGGTGAAGTAAAATCATCCAACCCTCAATTTTGGTTTGATTTTTGTTTCTATTTCTCCTCCGAAGACCCTGAAGGCCTCGTCAGAATGCATGGCATCATGATTTCTTCAAAACACCAAAATATTTAAAATATGAAAACTGAACAAATGCTCTGAACTCTGCCAGAAATCTGAACATTGATTGCTCTTTCAGCAAAAAAAAAAAAAAAAAAAGAAATTGAACAAAATTAAAGAAACAATGTTCTTCGTGCCCATATCAGTCTTTAGGCATAAATCATTTATAAAACCTGTGAAATTTGAAGGAAGGCGAAGTGCTGTCCTTTTGGCAAATGTTGGTTGTATTGCACAGTGCCATTAATTTTCACACAAATTCATTAATCAAAAATAGTAATACATTTTTTTTTTCATTATGATTATGTACTCAGTTACATTTTTCTATTTTCAGTTTGAGATGATGATACCGAAGTAAAATATTAATTTGGTTAACACATCTTCACAGTGAGAGCCAGTCATTTCTACATCTAATAACCTTCATGAGGAATGATGTCATCACGACATTTAATGTTCCAAAGAAATGTATCGACTTTAATGCAAATGCAGGAAGTAATTTCCTCATTTGAACTTTTGTTTTAGTTGGAAAAACAAAAATGTCAATTTGACGGTTGTAGGGAAAGAATTTACAAGTAAAGAAGTTGTGGGCACAAATTGTAAATTTAGTTGTTTTTGTGAATATTGAGAAGTTTCAGGAAACGACAAGTCAATTATTTGAATTTCTTTCTTAGACAGGAAATCAGTTCCTCCATTATTATTATTATTATTATTATCATTATTGTCACAGTTCTGATTACAGACTTGTCGTCCCCTGAAGAGTCAAATATTGAAATTATCACTGAATTTACGAACTAAAGTGTCATTGATTGTTTTGGTTTCGTTCAGCACCGTGGCTCTGAAAAACCCGCCACCTACCACTCCAAGATTGATGCCGACATCGACTCCCTCACCAGTATGCTGGCCGATCTGGACAACCATCCGCAGGACGCCAGCAACCAAGTACTGAAACGACTAACACTGAATCTCTGCAATAAGAGAGTTCTCCTTATTTTGAGTAAAACTAACCGTGACATGTGCCTCCTCTCAGCTCTATGACAACGTGCCTTACAACAAATACATCTCAGGGGATCACTACAAGTCTGCGCACCAGAGCGCAGCCTCCACTCAGGGTCGGCCGTCCATGGGCTACAACTCTCACCCCCAGAGTCCGTTTCACCCGGCCCCTCCGTATCCCGGCGAGCACGCGGCCCCCAGTACTCCCACCAGCAGGACTTCTACTCCACTTCCGCCCCGAAGCCGTATCCGCAGCCCGTCCCGGCGTCCTACACCACCGCCTCTACCCCTACCGGGCCCCGCTTCAGCGTCCAGGTCAAGACGGCGCAGCCCGTCACCTACTCGCAGACGGGGCGGCAGGCGGAGCAGGCCTACACCCCGCCCCCTCCCCGTCAGCACGTGTCGCCGCGGCCCCCGGCCCAGACCCAGACGGGCCAACAGGGCTGGTACCCGCCGCACCCGGCCTCGCAGGTCCAGGAACTGCACTCTGAGGTGGGCTACAAGGGCCACAACCCGGGGTCCGGAGGAAGAGTTAACCAGGTTCCTCTGTCGAAGAGAGGGATAGAGAAGACCCAGACAGCACAGACGCCTTCCTATCAGTCCAGCAAGGTAAACGCATCGACACGCTTTGGTCACCGCCTCACGGCTTGGGGAGTCGTCTAGTTCCTCTCTAGGTAACTCTAGAGAAAACCCTCCAGATTTTTATTTACGGTAGGATGATGATGCTCAGGTTTCAAGAAGCTGAGTGATGTAGATTTTTATCCTAATCTGATTTCAGTTTGTCCATATGTGCCCAAAAAGCCTATGAAATACCCAATTTTATTGCTTATAAATCAGAAGGAATTTAAGAGTTGATCTGCTTATCAATTTGTGAAATTTTAGCGAGATGTTTTGCACTAAAAAGTCCTTTAAAGGTTGAGATTTATCCAGCAAATCCATAAATCCTGTCCCGTTTAGTTGTGACGACTGGGGGACCTCTGGAGATGATGATGATGATGATGCAAAGAAAGATTTTACTGAAAATCAAAAAATATTATGGACAACCCTGATCATCTCTTCATTGAAAAACAGAACATCTTCAGTCAGAGGCTTCTTCAAATTTGCTGCAGTACAAACTGTGACAGGAGAGCTTTCCTGCTGACAGACTCCACCATGTACAATAACTTTAATTTTTTAACATTAATTTTAATTAATGGCTTATAACATTTAACTTTCCTTTGTTTTTAATTGAATTGAAATTTGAGGTTGTAAAAAACTGAAATTTCGATGTGAAAAACAAGCAAAGAACTTTTTGTTTCCTCTTTCCTCCAGCAGGGGGCAGCACCATCGAGGCCTGAGGAGGAACTGGACCGGATCACCAAGAAGCTGGTTTACGATATGAACCACCCGCCTGCAGAGGACTATTTTGGTGCCACACATTTAGTTTTATTTTCTCTGTCGTGGTATTTTTATTTTTTTTTTTATTTTTTTATTTTTTCTTTTTTGGATGCTTTTGTTAAAGCTTTAAGTTGCTGGTTTTGCTCTCAGGTCGCTGCGCCCGCTGCGGGGACAACGTGGTGGGTGACGGCAGCGGCTGCATCGCCATGGAGCAGGTGTTCCACGTGGAGTGCTTCACATGCATCACCTGCCACGCCCGGCTGCGAGGCCAGCCGTTCTACGCCCTGGACAAGAAGAGCTACTGTGAGAAATGTTACATCGTAAGTGAGGGAACCAGACGAGATCCGACCGACCAGGAGGTTTGTTGTGTTTTAGCTGATCTAATCCTTCCGACTGGTTTTGTTTCAAGAGCACGTTGGAGCGCTGCTCTAAATGCTCGAAGCCCATTCTGGACCGGATCCTGCGGGCCATGGGGAAGGCCTACCACCCTCGCTGCTTCACCTGCGTGGTCTGTAACTGCTGCCTGGACGGCGTGCCGTTCACGGTGGACGCCACGTCTCAGATACACTGCACAGATGACTTCCACAGGTACGCCGCGGCGCCACGCGCCTCGCTCTGCCAATGGCGTGGTTCTGACGTTTTGAATCGCGTTTCTCTGACAGGAAGTACGCCCCTCGCTGCTCTGTTTGCGGCGAGCCCATCATGCCCGAACCGGGCCGGGAGGAGACGGTCAGGATCGTAGCTCTGGAACGCAGCTTCCATGTTCACTGCTACGTTTGTGAGGTGAGCGAGCTGTTGAGTGAGTTTATGTGAATTATTCTTTGTTTCAGGAGGGAATTATAATGCAATAAATAAAACGGTTCTCAAAATTAAGTGAACGCAAGTTGAAATTTACTCTGGATTTTTGCTAATCAATGAAAAAACTGATTTTCAAAAGGCTTATAACAACGTCTGAATCTCATAATGTTAACATATTTGAGCTTGTATGATTTCAGCCTGATGTGGATTAGAGAAAATCTACAATAAATCCTAACACGTGAATCAGTTTCTTGTGTTTAAAACCAACAAAAAGCGTCAGAGTGTCATTAAAAAGCCCAAATTGATTGCACATTTATACCAACTAATGATTTAACTCGGTGTTGTCTTGAAGTGACTCAAATGTGCGTGTCCCTCAGGAATGCGGCCTCCTGCTGTCGTCTGAAGGCGACGGTCGAGGCTGCTACCCGCTGGATGGACACATCCTGTGTAAGAGCTGCAGCGCCCCGACGCATCCAGGACCTCTCGGCCAAAATCTCCACCGACTGCTAACGGCGCTCTTCCTCTGTGACGCACCCAGACCCGGTCAGCGCGTTGAGAACGGCACAAACGCGTCCGCGCAGCGTTCAGACATCGTTAACATTTCTTCCCCCTCCCTCCTCCCCGTCTTTTCTTTGTTGTTACCGACAGTCGGTATTGCAGTGAAATCGCACCGTTTTTGTCGCTCTCGGTGCGTCGTTGACTAGTACGACGGTGGCCTGACCTGCAGGCAGCTTGGGCTCCACTCTCCCTTTTTTTGTTCATTTCGGTACAAATTATATCTCAGTTTTAGCATAATATCATCTCATGGGAGTCGCACAAATTATGATAATCAGAAAAAAACCCTACATTTTTGTAAAAAATACAACAAAAAAAACACAATCAAAGTACTGAGATGCCTCACAGTTTAAAAGCACAGAGTACAACGTAATACTGTGATTGTACATATCGCACTGGTTTGGTTTGTAGCCTTTAGAGCAGGTGAATTTTGCTGTGAAGTAATTAACCTCATAGTACAAGAAATGTAGACGAGACGAATGTGCAGTTTAAAAACAACCAGTTTTCACTCCTCAAGCTTCTACAGAACCCTAAAACGCTCCAGGTCGGATTGTTTGCCCTCGCAGAATCGTGTCATTTAGCTCCTAAAGTGATCTCGAATGTTTTTAACCCTCCTGTTGTCCTCGGCTTATGTCGACCGAGGACAAGCCCTTAAAAAATATGTTTTTCAATTGCAGCTGCATACAGAAACTTTAATCTAACAGTCCTGCATCAGAACTATGGTGTGCACAACTCAGGGGAAGTTTAGGCTCAAGCAATCCAAATGTGAACTTTACAAAAGAAATAAAAATAACCAAACCCAGGCCTCAGGTCAGACTGACCGGAAGACTAAGGAAATCACAGCTGGACAGGCAAACAGTAGGGATGGCATCATTGATCTCCGTAAAACTGATATCTTTTCAAATTTCCCCCCCCTCCTGTTGCCCTCGGGTTGACATGACCCGAGGACAAGCCCTTATAAAACATTTTTTTAATTGCAACTGCATACAGAAACTTGAAATCTAACAGTCCTGAATCAGACCTACAGTGTTCACAACTCAGATGGAATTTTCTGCTGCAGCAATTCAAATGTGAACTTGACGAAAAAAATAAGAACAACCTCCTCTTGTCTTCGGGTCAAAATGACCCGAAGACAAGAGGAGGGTTAAGAAAAGACATTAAGCTTTTTTTTTTGTTTTTTTTGGGTGTTTGACGTTGTTTTGTTGATGCTTTTGCCTGTTACATTAGAAATGGAGGTGCAATGACAAATGCTTCTGTCTTCCAAAGGAAACAGGGCAAAGGTCACTTCTGTTTAGCCTCAAGAGTTCAACGATGTGCCATTAAGAGCAAAACCTGCTCGCCTAAAACTATTTCTACAGAAATGTTAAAATTATACCCAATTTATAGGGGTTGAAGTGTATTTCTTTTCTTTTTTTTAGGATTGACATAAAAGTTAATCGAGAGCTTATTTCTCCCTCAAAAAGACTTTATTCCAGGACGAGACGCTGGTGAGGTTGTGTTTATCCTTGCACTACTTGGCAGCGACAGTATTAATTGTGCTTTGCACCGCTCCAAGCCAGCCTTTATGGGAAAGAGAGAAGTGGAATCTGCTTTTGAAATGGTGTAGAAAACACAGCAGCTCCAGTCTGGGCATGGGCCGGCGTGAGACTCTCGGTAGGACAACCGAGGTTTCATGACACAAAACACACTCCAGAATGGCAATGCTTCATTCCAATTCTGCCAAAAACATATAACATATAAATGATTGCAATTATAATACCTAGAATTATCTGTGATTTAGGAGTAATTTTTTAACTAAACTCGCTTATTCAGAATATTATTGCCTTTTAGTCGCTCTGCTGTTTAGTAGCAGAAACAGTCAGACTATCTGCACATGTAGCTGGCCTGCAATCAGCTACTTTTACGGTAATAAAAGTGCGCTGCCCCGGTTTACCCAGCATGACTAATTGTTTATATATATAATTGGAATTATTTATATGAAAGAAAACCAAATTTGCCTTAAAACGTAAGCAAGGGGAAGTACAGCAGCCATCTGCAGCAACAGGTGGGGGAGGGGCAGCACTGATTTACTCTCCGGTTCATCCAACGAGAGAAAACTCCATGGACTTGCTTCTCTTTAGTTTAACTATTTTTCTTGTTTTGATGCCATAACTTTGTAAAAAAAAAAAAAAAAAAAATCTGCCCATGCCTGATATGGACTCTTTGTTTTTCCACTTTCCTGAAGCAAATAATCAGAATTTTGTGAATGATAAATTGCTATAAAATCTAATTTTGATTTATGCACATTGGTGTTTTAGGCCCTCTAATGCAGAAAGTCTTTTAAGACCCGGGACGCCCCCTCAGCTTCACAGCTATTGCAGGTCACATAACGGATCTTCTGGACGATTTTGTCGATTCTTATAAGAACCCAAATCATAAAGAAAACGACAGTAAATGTTTTTGTACCTAGAAGCTAAAATGTTTAAAACTTCAGAAATGCAGAACATGAAATGGAAAATGTGTAGCATCCCTGTTTTCCGTCCTTTTTATTTTATTTTTTTTTTTGTACGCGTTTAAACCTAAAGGGCTACAGATTTGACAGCCTTACCTCAAGGCTTTCATCTCGGTGTCGTAATAATCCTGCTTGGTTGACTGTGAATTTAGCTGAAACGGTTCGGATATTTCTCCTGTTACTTGGCCTCGTGACGTATTTTTACTGCGCTTTCATCACTTGAGGTAAACGTTTCATCGTTGCTCAGACGACGTTTTACGGTCCTGAATTACGCCGGCTTCATTTGTGTGCTTTTCAAGATGTTGTGAACCGATCCTGCAAGTGTCAGATTTACTCTTGGCGCCATTTCTTGGCGGGCTGAATAAACATGTTAAATAATAAAGACCAAGTATTTTATTGAACGTGGAGAAAAGGGTGGATATTTATCTCGACACGTTATTTGTGAACAAATTGCTTTGTATTAAGACACTTCTATGCATTTATGCTACTTTCCTGGTCCAGTAACAACAATATGTTGTTGCCTGATGTAGTAAATGAAGGATCAAAAATTATCTTTCATTTCAGAAGAGTTTAAATACCTTGACTTATACATTTCAGGTGACAAAAGCATACTTGTTGCTTTGCAGTGGCTTGTTTTAAAAACACAATTACTCCAGGTTTAGAGGTCCCAAAGCGTCTCATGCTAACAGGAGGTGAAAGTCTTCCAGAAGAAGTTTCGGCAGCCTGCTTTGCGCTCTCGGTGGGTGAAGCGGACGTGTCGTCTCATCAGCCTCTGCCTGCCTCCGCGTTCGTCCTCCTCCTCCTGCATCTCTTCTCCTCTGGACGCCATCAGTTCAGACATGAACCTCAGCAGGAGCAATCCGGTTAGATCCTGAGGGAGAGCAGAACCGGGAAACTGGACTTTATGACATCACTGCTTCTGATCACTGATTGCTTGGAAAAACGTCAACCTAATTTGTGCTAGGTACTTTGGGTTATGTACACTTAAATGACTGCTTCATGAGAATAAATGAACAGCAACCCTAATACATAAATGATTTACTGAAAATAGCAGCATTGGGTTGTAATTGAGCCCTGAGAGACGTCAGCAGCATTAAATGTATAAAGCGTCCCAGACGGATCCCACAGGACTAAAAAGCATCTGCTTCCTAAACTCTGGTACAGAAATTAATATTCTCCACTGGAAATAATGTATTTTAAAACTATTTCAGCCTGGAAGTTTCTTTTAAAAGCTCACCCACACTGTTGTCCAACATTTGCTGCTACAAGAGTTTGAGTTTGCTGTCCTGTTCAAATGGCGAACGCCATGTTGTGGACAAACCTAGAAATTGACAGCCTTTCCTCCAAAAAGGCATTTTTTTCTCTTTTCTAAACAGATTATTAGTGTCACTTGAAATAAAAAGGTGGAGGAACTCTTTGGTAAATTTGTTATAGCTTTTTTGTTTTGCGATTAAGAATAAATCAAGTATAACACACACAAAAAAAGAAGATTAGAAAGAGTAGAAATAGCATCACTAGTAATGTCAGAATAACATGTTGACATGTGACAGACATGCCTTTTGTAAATGTAAATTTGTACTTTATAAAATACATTTAATGACAAAGATGTTGTTTTTTTTAGCGCACAAACATCCTGAGCCAAATTAAATCTGAACAATGAGGCAGTTTCAGCATTCCCACCTCATTCCACTTTATTTTCAATATTTTAGCTTCAAACACAAAGCAGAATCTCAATTTGTCTTATTACTGATTGTATTTTGTAATGGAAAAGAAAAGGTAATCCTCCAAGCCATCATCCCCAACTCACCTATTTATTCTGTGGAGATTGAGGGAAACAAGCAGCAATTGAGGAAAAATGAAGCATGCAGATGCAAAGCATAAAAGTATAAAAGCAAAAGGAACAATAAGAGACTGAATAGTAATGGGAAATTTCCAACAAATTGCATCCAACACAGTCCAAATAGAATTGTAATGAAAACGACTAAATGCCCGTAGTATCTTCTAAGAGTCGATCTAATCAGACCAGATGTATCGGTTATTGAACTCACCTTATCACCGATCAGTTCTGCTTGTAGGGTTTCCGTGAGTTCGTCCATCTGTGGAGCAGAGCTGACGTGGAGCGCCAGCACAGAGGAGCACAAAGCCACGACCAGCACCTTCATCTGAGAGCGAAGCATCTTCACAACCCGAACCCGTCCCGGATCTGGAAAACTCCCAACAAGTCGAGCGACGTGTGGCCGATGGCCGCCGTGTAGAACTGATAAATAGAGTCCTTCATCTTCAAGTCTCCCTCATCCTCAAGCCAACGCAGGGCTGTGATTGGTGGAGGAGATGACCTCAGGAGATGACCTGAGTGTTTTGACAAATCTGAAAACTCACAAACATTGACTGGGTGATTTAAACACACACTGAAACGCCTTTACATTTCACCCAAACTTTTAACGTAATTATATTAATTATGTTTGTCATAATTAGCAGCAGTTGGGAGTTTTGCACGCCGGGGTCCCATCAGCCGCCTGCAGCGCGGCGCTGTTCCTGACCCGATGTGACTCAAATGTTACTGGGTGGAGACGGCCGACTGGCCCACCGCTCACATTATCACTTTGAGTTAAAGGAGGATGAAATTTAAGGGGACTTATTGCCTTAATGTCATGCTGCAAGTACACGACTCGTATTTAGAAATTAAACAAAGAAAGGTGAAGACGTTTGTGAGAAGCGGAAAAACTGAAGGCAGATGCCTAGGAGCCCGGTGGTTTTTATTTTTGAGCCAGTTGGCAGATAATTTAAAGATGGGAACGTTTTCACCTAAAGGATCTCCACGGTGTTTTAAGTGATGTTACACCACATGGATTTGCGAGTGCTTCTAGTTTTATTCTGGTCCAGCTTACCTGGGAACATGTGTCACACTTAAATGTTCCAGAGCATCATGTAACTTTAAAGATAACCTGAGAAAATACAAAAAAAAGACAATTTCTTTAATTCTAACTCAAGCTGTGATGAACAAACCAAAGAAAAGAGTCATCATCCAACAATAAATAGGGAAAAACAACTTGTTTTTCAGGAATTCTGACTTTTATCCTTTAAATAAGGGAGAAAAAACAAAGTCTGGTATTTTTCTGTTCTCAGTTTTAGTTTTTCCAGATTTTTAGACTCTGAAAACATTCAAATGAAATTCAATGCTCTTCAAGAGCGTGTAGAAACTTTGAAGCAGATTCACTTGGATATTTGCCAAATTTCCACTCTGCTTCCTTCATAAAAGATTATACTGATTAAATCTTTAGTGTCAGCAGGTGGATGTCAGACAATAATGCAGATGAAAATTACAAATGGTTTAAAAAAGATTATACGTTTTTCTAAGAAGGCAAAAGTCTTAAATGAAGAAGAAACGAACTACTGGTATTACTTTTTAGAGAAATCGAATGTGAGCATTTTTCTCCTCCACAGCAGTCATTTGGAAACACTCTTTAATTAGACGATGACCTTTCCTGCAGCTTTTCCTCCTTCGTCTCAACGGGACTCTCTCTGATTAACCTGACTACTCGGTTTTTAAGTGAAACATGTCTTGACGTAAAGGAGCATTTCCCAGGCAGGCATCCAGCTGAGCAGCTCTGGACGAAGGAGGAGTAAAGATCAGGTCACAGCTGTCCATCCTGCCAAGGTGTTTGTGAAAACTAGTGAAGGTTTATATAAGCTAATAACACATTTGAATGATGAATGAATGAATTCTCTGCTTCATTCATGATGACGATGAGTCAAAATTTTGAACAGTTTATAAAGAGATGCCTTCCTGTGCTTCGTCCAGTGCCTTTTGGTCGTGATTATGTGATTACACACTTCCTTCTTTCTTTCCTCATTCATTTCTTCCTTCTTGAAGGTCGTTTAACTGAAAGGAATCTGTTAAACCGGTGCTGGTCAAACTTTGTCACAAGAAAGACGACAACATCCCCCAAGGGTAACTTCTTAGTGTCCTCCCACTTTTACTGGCAGTGTTGAGTCTTATTCTTCCAGGACTCCACAGTCCAAAGTGTGTAGTGTGAGTAAAAAGAAAGATGTTGCAAACTTGTGCTCTAAGACGGATGCATGATGAACCCCTGGTGCTTTTCTAACATTTCACTTCAACGCTTGATTCAGGATGCTACCTCTGCATGTCATTTAATATCATTTGTGTAGTTTAAGTCCTGTCTTTTGCGGGCTGACAGTCCGGTGCAGCTACCCAACAAATGTCACCAGTGTTTCTGCAGTTCAGCATCGTTCACTTGAACCCATTTCTGAACCTTTCAGCCACTGGGGTCCAATGAAGACCTCGTGAAGCCGTCAACGCAAGTGTTCGTGTGAAACTAATGGAAACAGTGTTATTCTTTAACAGTACAAAAGAGCACCCATGGGTAACTGATGTTTAACTATTCATTTGGTGAAAGAAACAAACAAAATGAGAAGCAGTAGACTGACGTCAGATGTTTATTAGGAAGTAGAAACTGATTTATGAACATAAGTTGATTTACAGCAGTGGCATTTCTGAAGCACATTATCAAAGTACTTATTCCAGTAGGTTTTGTATACTTTTTAGCAAGTTGTATCAATAAGTCAGCAACAAATACTTCTCATAGAAAACTTAGCGAAAATGTTAGAGAATAATTAATTCAAAGTACAAGTTACCATCAGTTCCTACTGGTCCTTCTGTGAGTTTCAGAAACTCATTCAACTAAAAATAAAAATCACACAAAGGGTTGTCATATCAATGCAGTTTTGATGTTGATCAGGTGATGAGACGCAATGCATAAAATAGAGATTTTTGCACGTTACATGAATTGTATTAGACTACAACAAATAAATCTACACTGAGCATTGAACTATATGATGTAAAATGTAAGTTAATAGCAGAAAAATAGTAAATTTATAAAATAAAACTTCCACCCTTCAGTGCTGAATATAAAAGTAGTAAGACTCAGTTTAAAAAGAAAATCTTAATTCTTATTTGGTTGTGTATTTGCAACACTGTTTGCCTCTAAGCATGAAAAAAATACATATAGATAGTATGATTTTTGTCTTTTAATTTTACTGTTTGAGTTGGTGTAGTTATATAAAGAACTAAATCGACAGATTCTTCCCTTGCAGAGTTGTTGGGGAGTTTTCTCACTGACACATTTCATCCAGACTTTTTATGGCTTCCTCTTTACTGATTGTTTTCCACATTTCAGGAATATAACCTAAACCCTCAAATTTCAACTTGTAATATTTTTCCAGATTATTTTTGAATCTGCACACAACCCATTTCCAGTACGGCAGTTTAGACTCATCGGGGGTGATTCTCCACGAAGCAAACTCTGGGCCAGCCTTTCTGTATAGTTTATAGGGAACGGGTCTCCGTGATTCTCGCTTGGGAAAGAAAGTGCGATCACTCGAAACATCCGATGTGCAGAAGTTTATGTACATGTGTCTCGTGTTTGCGTGAAACATGCCACTGAGCGCGCAGGATCGATGGAAAGGAACACTGTGGTCGTCAGGGCTGTGATCTTGTAGGGTGTTGGTGCACACAGCAGAGCAGAATGGACACTTGACCCAGCAACACCTACACAGCTGCTCAATGAGGATTTGTTCAGGCGTTTGCCTCGAGTTTTTCATTTCTTCATCTGAGAAGCGACTAATTTGCTTTTTCACTGAGTTGAGTTTTTTACCTGCTTCTTTGCAGAGGAAATCAAAATCATGTACGTCGCTGAAGTCCTTCAAAGAGGCACTGTCAAATTTGAGCTGATCTTTCAGCAGAAGGGATAATTCACTCAGCCACGTGTTTATGTCGCCTCGCTGGATTTTAACTTTCTCCGTTGCAGTATGTAGAGCTTGGCTCACAACTGAGTAAATGCCTTTCACATTTCTTTGGAGCATTATTTCTACCTTCTCATGACCTGTGTTAATGTATCTCTGGACTTCTGCTTTAATGAAAGACTCTACTTGCTCTCTAGGGTTTTGGATGTAGTTGATGAACTCGTCAAAGTCCTCTCTCTCTGCGAGTGACCTCAGCACATGTGTCTCCAAGTTCAGCCTGTTTCCACTGAAGGCTGGGACATTACACTTCATTTCTCGAGCGAGGGCCAAGGCAGTCTTGGTATAAGCAGCTTTAGCAATAGATGGTCTCAGTTTCTCACAGATCAGTTCGCTCAGCACTACAACAGAGGAACTTCCTTTGCAGTAGATTTGGAAAATGTTATAGTAATGATTTTTCCTGCTTTCCAGATAGCAAAATGCATCATTGTCCAGTTTGAATTTCTGCTGGGACTCCGACAGCCAATTCTTTACTAAATCAAACACATAGAGAACAAGATCGACTGTAAATTTCTTTTTAAAAACACACTTTAACTCTGATTCCAACATGGCCACATTATCTTTGATTGAATGGACCATTTCTTGCAAATAGGTTGATTGGTAGCCTCTTGTTGCTACAGGTTTCTGTTTCATTAGCTCAACGGACTCTTTTGAAACAATGTCAATAATTTGTTTGATCTGTGTTTGATCAACAAGAGGTACTTTGGATATTTTTAAGTATTGTTTTAAGACTGCTTTCAAATTGACATTAGCAGATTTTGTTTGTTTATTGGTTACATTGTTTTCTGTCTCATCACTTTGAGATTTTCCACTTGTTTCATTGTGATAATTCGTCTTTACATAATCCAAGTATTTACCAGTGTTTATATGTTGATATGTGCCGCTTTCTTTGCATTCTTTAATAAGTTTTTCCTCCATGCCAATCTCTTTAAGGATAAGAAACAGATCGTTGTCCAGCTCTATGTCCTCAAAGGGTTTTGTATTTTTTGTTAAATCATTAACCCACATTTCCCAATCAGTGTTGAACGCATGTTGAAGCTCTGCTTCACCTTTGGACTTGTTCTTTAAGTTTTGAGCAATGTTTTTGCTCTTTTGGAGGAGCTTGTTCTCAAAATCTGCCTTCATATCATCCATCATTTTCCAAGCACTCTTTTGCTTAATCACTCCATCCAGTTTTCTTTTAATTGTTCCCACTTGTTCTTCGTGAAACTCTTTAATTTTGCTCTCAAATCGGCCTCTCCACTGAACCAATATTTCTTTGTTTTTCTCTTCCTCAAAGTATCTTACCATTGCTTCTTTGACTTCTTCATATGGTTTGCTAGTTTCAGTAGTAATATTACTGGACTCAAGCTTGTCGAGGTCTCCATTGTCTATTCTGTTGTGTAGCTGGTTTTCAATGGTCAGCAGGTTGTCCCTGATGGCCCAGGTCCAGTTCCCATACTCTGTCTCCAGTTTTCTGTACTCTGCAATTTCTTGTGTGTTTTTAAAACTGAACACAAAGTTTTCATTCAGGAGTGCGTCCCACAGGTCTTGAATATGTACCTTGAGGTGTGAAAGCCTGATCCCATTTGACTCTGAGGCTTTAGAGAGGATGTGTGCCTTCAGTTCTTGGACGCTCTCACTGTAACCTGGGTTTGGAGGAGCCATCGGTGGGCTTCCTTCCCATAGCTGAGCAAAATATTTCACATCCGTCTCTATATTAAAGGCGATGACATCACTGAAGCGATTTGCAGTGCACTCCTCTTCTTTGGCTGCCAGTTGGGTCATTTGGTCCAGTTTTTCTTGCAGGCGCCTTCTGCCATCCATGTTTTTCTCTGCTGCAGCGACATCTGTAACATTCTGGTGAACAAACACACAACTTGGACTGAGTTTAATTTTCTTCATCCTCATGGAAGCTTGAACAACTATCTGCAAAATATCTTGCATCTCAGCTGGAGTTTCCCCAAAGATGTTGATTAAAGTCATGTTTCCCACACCTACAACAAATGTTGCCAGTTCATTATCATGTTGAAGTGTAGTACTTTCCAGTTCCAGAGCCCTTAGTCCTTCAGCATCCACCGCTAACAAATAATCAAAGTTAAAGTCCTTCTTGATCTCCTCTGATATCTTGACCAGCTGCATGAAGGCACCTTTGGTGCACCTCCCAGCACTCACTGCAAACTGTAGTCCAAACATTGCATTCAGCATTGTTGATTTTCCACTGCTCTGTAAGCCCAGAACTGACAACACAAACACTTTCAGGTCGCCCAGTTTCCTGATGACTTCATCAAAAACGCTGGAGATCCACTTCACGGGAACATGGCCAGCGTCCCCATCCAGCAGCTCCAGAGGATAACCTGAGATCAGCAGATCTGCAGCCAGTTTGGGATAGCCACACCAATCGCCAGGTTTATTGTCTCCATGTATTGTTTTATGGGCCTCATGGATCTGTCCCATTTCTCTGAAAATGTGCTCCAAGCCAAATGTTGCAGACTGCAGTTTTTTTGATAATAGTTCAAGCTCAGTTTCCATCTTTTCTAATTTTTTTGATTTGTCGTGACTCTTCCTCAAAGCCATAACCTCAGACCATTTGTTGTCATAGCTTTGAAGGATTGAAGAAATACAGTCTGCGGAGAGGGCATCTGTTAGGATCTGAGTCCATTTCAGGAAATATTCTTGCTCTCTGGGTTGTAGTTTGGAGAGGTTCTCAGTGAACAATCTCATCAATTCACTGCAAGAAGTATCACACTGTTGTCTTCTAATTTGAGTCAATTCTCTTTCCTTTTCGGATTTGTCATTTTCAATGTTTCCTGTGAGACGATGGAGTTCTTTATTTGTTTTGCACCACTTCAGCCACAGATGGCCTTGGTAAGAAAGAAAGTCATCCTTTATGCTTGAAACATCTGTATTCTCAAACAAATGAACTATCTCCTCAGCAGCTGATTTTCCATTTTGGCACGCATTGTCACTTTCATCCACTTTGATTTCTGAGTTCTCAGTCATAGTTTCAAGCTGGAAGGTTGTCTTTAAAATTGAAGGATCCCCTGAAGACAAAAGTCCTTGAATGATTCTTTTAAGTTCAACAGAAACATCTGCTTGATTTCTTGCTTTGAGTCCCATTTTGTATTTTCCCTTCTTACTCTCCACAGCACCATCATCATCAACAAGGAGACAAATCAGAGGCTTTTTGGACTTTAGTAGAGCTGATATAAGTTTCCCACTCCTGTCATCTTTATGGAGATTTTGGACCATCACAACATTGACTGATGACTTTTCCATCAGTATGTCACGCTGCTTTTCAATCATCAGAGCATCACCATGAAGGTTGCAGAAAGCAATGCAGTTATTGAAGGCATCACTGGGTTTTCCAGCTGGGCAGTACCAGGTAATTTCAGCAACTCCGTCTAGTAAAAGTCGGGTTTTGGTGCTACCAGGACAGTGTCTGTGGAAAAAGGTGCTGTGGCGGTCGTTGATCAAGGAGTTCATCAGCTGGGACTTGGACACTGAGAGTGATCCCAGGCGGAAAAAAGATACCAAGGGTGTTTCAGCTTTGGAGATTGGAATATTCTTCATGGTGGCTTGTGAATCCCCCTTGGTTACCTTCCATGTTTTAGTTATTTGTCTGAATGCCCATAGAGGACACTCAATCTCAGTCGTAAACGGGTCAGGAACCAGCAAAGGTAAGGCATACTGACACTGGGAAAGCTTAGTAATCATGACCTGTCTGAGGAAGTTGTCTGAGCAGTGAAATACTGCCATCTGAACATCCATTGGATGCGGAGGAGTCTGGTGTGGCTGATTTGAGTCAGCACCAGCACTAAAAAAGAACTCTGAGTCACTGTCATCTGAATCATCAGAGCCTGGAACAGGCTTTGAACAAGTGACGTCAAGACTGTCTTGTTCAACAGGAACATATCTGGCTCTGTAATCTAACATTATCAACCTGTGAAGAAAGAAATATGCTAGATCTTTCTCAGATGCGTCTTGGTTCAGTTTTAAAGGTGGACCAACTTGGAGAAATTTTCCTGGGGACATCTTTGGAGATCCACCTTGAAGCTGCAGTCTGGATAGCAATGTCTGAGTGTCTCTTTGATGTTGACTGTTCTGAACGACTTTGTCCAAATCTTTCTGTGACTGTTGGGAAACAATTTGCACAGACCAAATGGCCAATTATTGATATCTGTTATATGTGGACCACTGATTTAAAACCAAAGTCCTACCTTTTCACCATTTTGTCCTGAACTTGTGGCTGAGGTTCCTACTGAAAAAGAATGAACCAGAAGACAAAACCACAGCAGAGCTGAGGTTTCATTGTTTTCATGGAGGCTTTTCATGTGTTTAAAAGTGTACCTGTCTTCATGGCTGCATTGTCATTATGATTCTCTTCTGACTGTGCCCTTTGTTCGTTAGCTGGACCCTGTTGAGAAAACAATTACAATCACACACTAGCAATAATACTACAACCACAAGTTGTGCTAAAATAGAAAGCTTATATTTACCTCTCTTTCAGCTTCACTCTTCAGCGCCTCATTTCCTTTGAGGTAAAAACAGGCAGTTGGTACCAATCTGTAGTTCAATGTTCTATAAATTGTTATATGGGAGCTCTTGATATTAAAACATCAAAATATTTCTCATCGAGGTGACTGCTACCTCACCAGTACTAGCCTGTTGCTGTTGAATTTGCTTCAAGCACTCAAATAATTTACTGGCTGAATTTTTGGTTTCCAATATGAGTGATAAATGGCAACAAAGTGACAGACAACACACAAACAATGTGTAAGCACTACAAGTTGTTCAAATGCTGAAGGTGATGGGAAGCAGCTAAGTAACAACCAATGGTTGGATGTTTAAGGGTGCATTGAGCTACATATCACACATTACCTGTGGCAACTGAGAAATGGTATCCAGGCACTGTTAAGATGAAAAGCACTGATTTTTGTTTTGTTTGATCATTCCGAGATGGCAAAAACATTCTCTAGACATATCATGCAATCTGTTTACAGTCTTTCTACACTACCTAAAGAGTGCATGAGATGAAGAGCACATCAGTTCTAAAAAAGAGCAACTGACTTTCACCGCTGAAAAATGTTCCAGGAGTGAAAACGCACCAAAAGTGTAACTTGAGAGTGACAACAATTAAGCCTCACCTGTTTGTTTTTTCTTAACTACTGAAGACTCCATCAAGTTGTGTCCCACAGATTCTGGCTCCAAATCCTTATTTTGCTCTTTGCTTCCACCACATATGAGTCCAGTAAAGCAGGGTGGATTGTTGTTAGACACCATGGTCTGTACTTTTATCAGCAGATCTGCTATTTCCTCTGGGACTGACATAGTCCTCGTACATGTGTGGTACCTTTTTTCAATAAAGCTGTCACAAACTTTGAGGTCTTTAAATATGTCTTCACATTTTTCACCTGAATTATGAGTCACAACTGTCATCAAATAATAAATTGCTGCTCTCCCAAAGGTTTTTTCCAACCACTGCAGCCCTGATATGTATTGACTCACATGAGGGCCATATGAGATCAGTAAAAGAAAGGCATTGATTTTCTTATTTAGAGTTATTTCATTAATGTCTCGTAGGCCAATGAGGTTAATGACAGATATGCGCCGACCACACAAGTCATACAACTTGGATGAAAACTCTGTGTGCTCATCTTGGTTAATTAGGATGTTTTTTGTTCCAGACTCAATTGAACTTGTGTCACCAAATAATACAATGATGAGATCATCATCAGCTAAAACAAGAAGAAGAAGAAAAAAGACTTGATTTGTACCACAAGTATGAAAATAGCAAATGCCAAAAGTTGGGATCACAGTGCATCTGGAAAGTATTGTTTCCATTTTTCCACATTTTGTTACGTTTTTTTCTTATATTATCTTAATAAAAGATTATTAAGATAATCTTTTTCCCCAAAATTCTACACAGAAATCCTCCTAGCATGATTCTGCCACCACTGTGCTCCATTGCACGTATTGTATCCGTACAATGGAGCACAGAGTGACTGAGTGACCAATAGGTTCTTGAGCACCTCCCTGACTAAAGACCTTTTCCCCCAGTCGCTCAGTTTAGACGGCCGGCCTGCTGCAGGAAGAGTCCTAGTGATTTCAAACTTGCATCATTTACCAGAGATGGAGGCCTACAGATTTTTGCCTCAAAACAATTCGGTCTCTAATGTCTACAAATGATTCCTTTAATTTTATGCTTGGTTTTTGACCTCTGTCTTACAGAGGTCAGAGGTCCCACAGTTGTATGAGGTCAACTGTGGGACCTCATAGCATATGTGTGCCTTTCCAAATCGAGACCAATCAACTGAACTGACCGTCAGCGGACTCCGTTTAAGCAAAGAGGATCAATGTTGAGTGTCGTCAACAAAGTATTACACAGGATTTCTTAGTTTTACATTTTAAATAAGTTTGAAAAACACTCCATGTCTCACACATTGTCATTACTGAGTATTTGTTTGTAGACTTTTGAGGAAAGACATTGATTTTGCACAGTTTGTATTAAAAAAAAAGGCCGTAACATAAAATGTGAAAAAAAATTAAGCGCTATGAATAATTTCCAGATTCACTATAATGAGTGAAACAGAAGAGTTCTTACTTTTATCGACGTCTGTAGTTGCACTTGCATCCATTGATCTGTCGTATTCTGCTGCAGACCAGTTTGTTAAAAACATTCCCACATTTATTTTCACAGTTCTATTAATTCAATTCAACTTAAATGAAAGATAGTGGTTAAAATAATTCCTTACTTAGAGTAATCTTTCCTCTCTCTCACAGTGTGGCAAAGCTGTTTCTGGCCTCTCCCTGTTACAGAAAATGAAATATAACTGTATTGGTTTGAGCCAAAAAAAAAAAAAAAAATCCATCCATCTTATCTTGACTTTTTACCCGGCTGGTGAAAATCCTCATTCTTACCATATGTGGAAAATGATATTACAAGGGGACAAAACCTATGTTGCTAGCATAATAAGATGAACAAAACACTTGAGTATTTTTAATGCCATCCATTAAAACAATTTTTTTTTTAGTTTTTCTTACTTGTTTTCTCATAACAAACCTTAAGTTGAAAGGCACCAAGTGGCAGTGTTGGAAAAAAGCAGCGCTGTGCTTGTATCTATCTTAGAGTTATGCTGCCAATGGATTTACAATCTCTTCACAGTAAGAAACAGAAGCAGTGAAGGGCAATAACCATTCCCAGTCCATTCTTGTTAAGTTTGTGGTTATAAAGGTTAGAGTTTTGTAGCCTGCCGTTCATGCTTTGTGTTCATCAACACTTCAGCAACCTTTTCAGAGGTGTTGATGATCCTCCTCGTCCTGCTGCAAAATGATCAATATCCAATTTCTTAAGTTTCCATCTTTGCGATACTTCAGTTGTGCATGTAAGACATCTGCAGAAAAAAAAAGCAAAATAAAGAACTGGTTTTAAAAAGTTGACGTGTAGGTACACAAGCAAAACTTGCATTCAACACTAAAGCTTAAAATGTTAGTTTTACACTTCTCTGTTGCTTCTACATCACTAAGAGCAAATATATCTTGTGGCGTGCAAATGAATTTTCCAGTCACACTGGTTAAACAAAAGCACACACCCTGATTTGTATCTTTGCATCATGCATAAAACCCATTGCATCATTTTGGGACTGGTATGTAAAGAAAACACTGACACTTTCACACTTTTTATACTTCCACTTTTTGTGCTTTTGGCTTTTGAGAGAATCTAATTGTTTTGAATGATGAAATTCCAAGTGTTAGTTTTGTAATATTCCATTGTTTTGGCCTAACTTTCCTTGGAAAATTGTTGTCAATCTTGTTGGAATGTAAACTCAATAATAAATTTGTGATATTAGATAAATGCAAAATAAAATTAAACAAATGTCAAATAAAGCAAAAAAAAACCTGAAAATCAATAGTTGGGAGTTTAAGTTAAAGAGAGAAAAAAAATTAGAGACTTAAGAATACAAAAGTGACAAAGAACAGGAGACTTTGGGTCAGTTTGAACCAGAGAAAATCAGATACAGAATAAGAACAAACACATCCTGACCTCAGAGAGTCCCTTTAGCTAAAAGATAAGTCTGGTATGAATATGTTGACAGATGTCATACTGGTTAGACAAAAGCAAAACCCAGCTCTGTACATTTGCACCATGCATACAAGAAAAAGTATCACAAGACTGATTTTGGGGCTGATATATCTGAAAAAAGCATCTTGATGCATTTTTCTACTTTCATATGTTGTGGAGAAGTGTTGGCAATCTCTGTTTTTTAAATACTGTGAATGTTTGGGTTGCTGAGACTGCCAGCTCAACCTGCATAATTTAGCTTTTTTTTTTTTGGTTGTTGATTTTGAACCTGAAAAATAACCAAAATATCAATTAGGCCCCTAATTATTCAAACTTCTAGCAGAGTGGGATACCGAACTGTCATCTAACCAACTTCTTTGTTCTGATTGGAAATGATGCAGGCATCTCTCAAAAAATAATAGAATAATTTCAAAGTAGCACCAATTTTGAAATTTGGTTTGTTTTTACATTAATACACAGTTCATTTTAACCCTGTTGTGGACCTCAAGTAGTTTTGTTGCTCTTCTCTGAACAATTATAAAATGTTCAGCAAATCAGTCACATGTTCAACATCTAATTCTAATAGATCGTCTTCTTTCACGAGTCTTCATAAAATGTTAATATTCTTAAAGATATTGAGATACAAAGGAAACACACTTGTCTCTAAAGTCGGAGTGATTTGGTTTAAACTGATGTGGTTGAGAGTAAATTTCGGAGAAAAGCAGAAATGGATATACGCACATGGTGACAAGTCTGTCAAATTCTTAGTCATTCAAATAATAATCATTTTATTAATTGTCAAAATCTCCCCAAAACTTTCCTCCTACATTAGGCCAGCAATAGGATTAACCTCTAAAGTCCAGATTTGATCTTGTAACAACTATGAGCTCAATTTGGAGCCACCATCATGGCTGATCACTACTCAAAGCTCAAATGCTCAAGGAGTCAGAATAAAACTAAATAAAAAGGGATGTACTGATAAGGATAGACACACAGACTAACCCAAACACCCTGAATCATAAGTGTTTTTTTAATGAAAAACACACGATTACCTCTGTATCATTATGCGTGATAATTACTCACAAGCAATGTTGAACACAATCATAATGATGCACAGGAGAAAATTATTTGGGTGTAAATATACTCACCTTTGCAGCTTGGCTCTTCCTATTCATCTGAACGTTTCTCCTTTTTTCACAAAGCAACTTATATGGAACTGAATAAGCTCCTCCTGCCTGCAGATAACCAAATCAATGTAGGAGGAAAAATGAAAGTGACGATCCCCTTCAATGTTATGACCTAGGAGGAACCAGAACGTGAGAATTGCTATGAACTTTAACAATGTAGTACTTCAAAAGTAAAAATTGGCTATTCTGAAATAATAGCACTGTGGATGTCATAATCTTGTCAACAGACCTTGCATTCATGTAGTTAGCAAGCAACATTAATGCAGTTTCTCTGAAATGGCTTCAGCAGAACTCTTCTTGTGGCCAACAACTAATCACTAGCATCAGTCTGAGGAAAGCTTGTCTCTCTAACGCTCGGCGGTTAAATGGTGGAGGGGTTTATCACAATTACGACGCCAAGGAGAGATCAAGATCTCAACTCCGACTTGGTTCAGGACTTTGAAGTCCAAATCTGGGCGATGATGTCTTGCAGCAGGACCCGGTCAGCTCCCTCATTTATCAACATAAATTCTGCAGTGTTTCAGAGACGTGGCGCAATCTGTGAAAAAAAAGTTGAAATAGAACCAGACGCTTCATCATAAAACTGATCAAAACATCAGTAAATCCCCACTGACTGAGAGTTAAGAAGTGGACAGTCTTGCAGAGATAAAGCCCAGATCTTGATGCTGTAGGGTGACTTTAAACCGACTGGAAACTCCTAAAACATCATACAGATGAAAGTGATAGAGATTAGTCAGGATACCAATTGGGGAACAGGGTGTCCAAAGTTATTTCTCAGCTGAAAAACAAATTTTTGTAGATACGTTTTGATTAGTAAGTAAAAAAAAGATTAACATTTGTGTTCTAACTGCAATTAAATACATTTTGCTAAAAGAAAAGCACAAAGGTAAGTAAATAACAAATCAGTATGAAAATATTTCTTTATGAAGAACTGAATATTTAAAAGGGAACTGATGTAATTTTCTCAAGAATGGCTCCAGTCCTCTTTGGCGTTGCTGCCCCCTGCTGGTTGTTCTGTGTCAGTGGCTGTTTGAAAGAACCGATGGTTTCTCCATTTTCACTCTGATGATTGGTGGCTAAAATATCTTTAATTCAGGGCCTTTTTTTTGCTTCATTCCCTCATATAAAATTTGGGACAGAACAGCATGAAGGGCAAATTAATGAAGAAATAACTGAAGTCAGATGATAAAGACAGCATGATAGCATTACTATCAAAATACATGTTTAAAAGTACAGAAAATTTTCAATATTAAACCTTTGGAAAAGTTGAAAATATAAGCAAGAGATTATTCATTTTTAAAATGTGTGTTTCTATCAGTATATATGTCACATGTCAGAACAGAAAACAATAATTAACAGTTATTAATTATTGTTAATTGATCATTTTGTTGCCAAATAATTGTTTAGCTTCTAAACTGATCTAATGTTTTTCTTTTTAAGAAAACAGAATTACAATAGTGGCTTATTTGAGTTCCTACTACTGGACAAAGTTTGCCATTCACATTGGCAGCAGCTGTTCTGTCTGATTTAATTACTGACAGGCTGCACCTTGGGAGGCAGATCATCGTTCGTTGCTTTGTGGACAAAAAAAGCTGGGCAGAGGACAGACATGGTGCATGTCTGGTGAGAAACAAGTGGTTCACTTGTGCTTGTATTGGTCAGTGGGTGTAGTTTGCTAGCTATGAAGCTAGCTGTAGACACCAACACATCAACAGCTATGGCTTTCAAGTTGATGTTTAGGTAGGTTGTTGTGGTTGATTGCACATCAAGTTTAGATTTTTGAGCTGTTTTCTCATTTTTTGTTTGTAACTACAGTGTGGCATTACTGCTGTCCTTGTGGTCCACTGCAGAATGTGACTTCCTCGTGGAAGGTTGGTAGATCCTTTTCTATCCCACAGTGACGCTCTAAGACAAGAGTTCTCTACAACTTGTGTGTTTCCACAGGCGTTCTTCGACTAGAGTGTCGTGATCGTTACTTCGTGATAGCTGTTGACCTTGCTGCCACTGGAGAAGTTCCTCGCTTTGAGGCTGTAGGTTAGTGTTCCTGTTCTGCTGCAGCTTGTAGCAGTGAGGATGGCAATGGTTTGAGACAAAGTAAGCTGAACATGTTTATAACTGATTGCTTAACCCATGAAATGTCTTTGCTTGATGTTTCTCTCAGATGGAACAGGCACATATGCCATCACTGAGCATTATGCAGCAAAGTGTGGTTACACTATCAGCATTCTCTCTCTCCTGGGCCTTGTAGAGCTCAGGGCATCCTACTTCAGTTGTCACACTGAGAGGGTACAGAAAGAAACCAGCTTTCCTGACCTTTAGAGAAGATTCCTTGTGCATCCTGGCTAATATTTACAACTCTGTTTCAGGGTGCTGGCTTTTCATTCAGATTTAACCTGATAACTACCTATAAAGGGGTAGATGCTTACTATGCGCTCAATAAGACCTGTTCATCCCCTCTGCCCTGGTCACCGAGAGAGGTCACCTGTGAGGTCAACTACATGGAGGTGTGTCTTTGTCAAGTCTCCCTCCCTCCTTAAGCCCTCACTCCTGTCTTTAAACCCTCTAATCATGTTGCTGCAGGTTTCTGTAAGGAGTGAACTTCCATGCCAATCTGGGTTAAGTGATGTCTGGAGCATACTTGGCCCTGTATGTATCAATGATTGCAATTGGTTTTCTGGATTAGCAAATTTCTAATTGTCTGTCTCTACAGCCTTACAGTCCCTCCACTGAAGACTGGCAGGTGACTTTTCAAAATCCAGATGAGCAGTTGCCACCCATGAATCTGTCTCAAGCCCGACAGCAAGGCTACATATTTGATCTTGTCCATGACAGGATTGTGTTTCGTACGCCGTATGGTCAACTTGATTCCTATCATACTGAGGTAGACGGCCCTTTCCAGCTACTTGCAATGTCCTATTACCAACATGGTATTGAACCACCATGTCTTCTTAGGTGACTGGGATTCCAGTGGAGGTGGTCCGTGCAACATTGTTTTCACGGAAAAGCTGGGTTGTCGTTATGGTTGACCTGATTGCTGCTTGCTCCAAGGGTGTGTAAACTTAGCTGTTTTTACAAAGCTGTACAGTTTGGTAAAATCACTTTCTCCAAACAGATGAAGGGTCATATGACAGTGGCTATATGATCTGGGACACTCCAGAAGCACTCTATCCCAGTCTTGGCAAAACACAGATTAGTTTTGGCCTCAATGGTAACCTTATGGACCAGGCAGCTGCAGCGCAGAAGGGATTTATTATGGGAAGGTCTAACTCGACTGTCCAAATCGGGATCCCTTATAATGCTGAAGGAGGCTACAGGAAGGTAAAGACACTTGACTATAAAAGTCTCCTGTATATTTGACTTGCATCTAACTGAAATCAATTTCAGAGTTTTGTGAGCGATGGCCTCTTTGAGTTCTACATCTTCAACCTCGACTTGAAACAAACTTCAGTGGATGAACGTCATGAAGAGACTGTGGTGTGGTTTCACAGGACTCTTGTTACACCCCTCCTGTCATCTCCACTCTTCATAGAAGACCAAACTGATGTAGAAGATGGCACATTCTCAATCAATCTAGGCAAAGTTCCCAGAGATGTTGAGCTGACCTCTGTTCAGCTGAATGGGCAGGAATTTGCAGTGCCCTTCAATGACTCCATCGCATACACCCTTACAGAAGTCAGACATTCCAACAAAAGCCACAGCTACACTCTGAAGGTGCCATTGCGTGACCCAATTGTAATCCAGGAGGTAAGTGTCTTTAAGAACATTGTCGAGTGGGGTCATAATGCAAACATGGTTCTAATTGTGCGTATATATATATATTTTTCAGTTCTCCAAAGAGAATGCAGCCATGTTGCACAAACTGGACATAAACTACACCCTGATTGTCACACCTGGAGATGAGCCATACTACCACACCATCTCAGCCACAGCACTAATGGCTGCCCGTAAGTCATATCCTAACTTGGTTCCCTTAAATTAAATATTTAGCTGACTTGGTTTTGTTTGGCAGCTCCTCCATCTTTTGATGTGGTATGTACGGAGTCTGGGATTGATTTCAAGTTGGCGTATCGCTCTTTTGACTACCTGTGGGATTTCATGATTGGCTCAGACCGACTAACCCCAGCGCTTGCAGCCAACCATGGCTACACCATGAGCAATGACAGTCAAAGTCTACTGCTCAGTGTTCCACTGTTCACACATGGATACAAATACACGGTAAATGGCAACTGGGCTTATCTAGGAGGTTTTGAGTTTTTAAGCCTGACATTGAAATTCCTTTTCTTGAAGGATATTGGTCTGAAAGGCTTTCTCGGGACATTTACAATCCTTGTGAGGGATCGTGAAACTGCTGACATCCTGACTTCCACCACCAAGACGTGCCTGTTTAATACCACAGAGTTCATTAGTAAGAGCTATATTGGTTATATTATCATAATGGAGGTTGCCAGGCTTATGAATACTAACTTGTGGCTATTTTCCAACAGTGTGTTCAACGAATGGGTGGATGACTGTGGCGGTTGAGATGCCAGCACATTCCCATCTCGTGAACAGCCTCTGTGTACCAAAAGAAGCAGATGGCACACGAGTGCTCTTCTCGTTTCCACTTCACAGTTGTGGTTCCACTGTTAAGGTAACGATTACCCAATATTAAAACTAGCTGCAGAGTATCAAGTGTTTAAGACTCTTGTTTCCCCCCCCTCAGTTGGCAAAGGAAACCGTGACTTATCAAAACAAGATTTACTTGGACACTTCTGAGAATGCTGTTGAAGGGTAAGGCAGCACGTCATGGTGCCACATTCTAGAACTGTTTTAATTTCAGTCTCAATCTTCCTGGCCCCCACAGAATGACCGTGCGGTGCATGTACCCACTAGCTAGTCTCTACCGACTCTTCTCTCTCCACAAATTTGAATCTGACGAAGAAGGTGTTGGCAACATAATCCCTTTTGTGGAAACTACAAAAGGTTTGTTTGTTTGCTTAAGAACTTGGATGCATTTTCAAGTAATGTCAATTAAACTAAATGTCTCTCCTAGCTGTTCCAGCTACTGTGACTCCAGCAGTTGCTCCCCAAATAACCAGAACTCCGAGCTTGCCTCTGCCTCCTTTCTACCCTACTGTTCGTTACATCAAAGTTTACAGGGTTCAGAACCAACCAGGCCAGATCAGTAAAGGTAAGTGAATAAACTCTTGCAATTGAAGCTTTAAACATGTCTAACTCTTTCTTCTACTTGTAGGGCCTAAGGGAAACTTGCAAGTAAAGAAACTTCGTTATGCTTGAGGATGTGTGTAATTTTTACCGTCATTGAATAAAGCTTAAAGTGCTGTTTGAAATTGTGTATGTGCTTTTTTTTTTTCTTTTTTTTTTTTTTTTTTTAGCAGAATGAATAAGAAATTCTGACATTTTAGTTTCACTCTCACAATGTTTGACCTATGGCAAAACTGGCCTGTGAAGCAAATTTTCAGAAAACTACAATTTGCGCTTCATTCTTTCCTCCACCTCAGTGTAGAAGAGGTGCCAAGTAGCACTCATCTAAACCAGGGGTCTCAAACTCCACTCCTCTGGGGGGGCCACTGTCCTGCAGTTCTTAGATGTGCCACAGGGACAAAAAACGCTGGAATGAAATTGCTTAATTGCCTCCTTTTGTGGATCAGTTCTGCAGGGCCTTAATGACCTGATTATTCTATTCAGGTGGTGCAGCAGAGGCACATGTTAAAGTTGCAGGACAGTGGCCCTGAAGGACGAGTCTGAGGCCCATGATGTAAACCAGGTGTGTCAAACTCATTTTTGTTTTGGGCCAAATCAAGATTATGAAGGCTCTTAAAGGGCCGGTTGTGCCAGAATGTGTTGATAAAAGCTGTTCACAAACTGATATGTCAATTAATTCTTAAAATGACATATTATTGAAGATCTTTTCAGTCCCTTCAGGAACTAATAATAAATGCGACTGTTTATTTACTCGCTGTATAAATCATGGACTATAATCATACATCAACTAAATTCTCAAGAAACTGGAGGGATTGATTGATATATATTGGCAGTAAACAGATAAAAACTGTATTGATATGATTGATAATATAATATTTAATCACTCTTAGTGTTTAGTCTAGACTGTGGAGGGCCACATAAAACGCTACGGCGGGCCGGATTTGGCCCCCGGGCCTTGAGTTTGACACATGTGATGTAAACCATGATGTAGAACAGAGACTCGGTGCTTTGGAGATCTCTCCTTTCAAACCGATCCCTTTGCCGCGCTTTTTTCATCGAACGCAGTCTCGTCACTCCACCAGCAGGTGTCGCCAGTGGAAACGCAACAAACGAGCTTGTTTACTTTTGATGGTTCTGAAAGCACGAGTCCGTTTGAATTAATTAGACGACCATGAGCTACAGCGAAGCGCGTTTGTTGGTGAGTTTCCCCTCAGACTTTAACGCTTCAGTCGGGGTCTATTCATTTCATTGGCCGTTCGTCCTGAAACAGAGAGCCAGGCAGCCCGTCCTGCCACCCATCTCCAACAGGACCCTGCGGCACCCCTCCTTCCTGCCTCTCTACGTGCCCACACGTTTTCATCCCACTTTTCACGGAGACGCTCACCCCGGTCAGTCACGTCTATGTTGAGGTAAATGTTTTGAGTCTGAGCAATGAGTGACGGCTAATTTCTCTGCAGGGTACTCAATGAGTCCTGTGGAGCTGTTCTACACAGACCCCACTCTGCCCTGCGGGAGGAGGATCTATAATAGTCTGAGTAGGAAAATGGTGAGTCGGTCCATGCATCAAGATCTCCGAAAATGTTAAAAAGACGGAGTTTAAGTGCAGAAGCATGGGAAGGACTGCTGACAGGACAACTGTCCTGCAGACAGTTAATGCAACCTAGAGGAAGTCATGAAAGGTCACTGCTAAAGAAGCTGGCTGCATATTTATTCGACTTTGAAAGCAAAAGTGTGTGGTTGAAATGAGACGCTCATGCAACAGGGAGAGACAGCTGTGATAGACATGTTCAGCTGTTGCGTTCAGATGTTGAAGTCTGAAGTCTCTTCTGCAAGAAGAGCTTCACATGATCGAAGTTGCTTTAGGTCCAGTGTGAAACTTCTACAGTCAATTGGTGGTTTAAGGAGACAAGTCTTATGCTGGGTTTAGTCCACTTTTTTAGTTTTCTTTTAGTCCTGAGTCTCCACCATCATCTGAGGACATTTCAGAGGACTTCTGTCTGCTGCCAAGCTTTATGAACTGACCCTGACCTAAAGGCTGCTATCAAAGCATCCTGGGCTTCCATTAACCGAGTCGATTGCCTCCATGCTACTAATGCAGTAATTAATGCAGAAGGAGCCCAGACCAATTGCTAAATGTGTACTTTACAGAACATAGATATAATATGTATTTGTCTGACATCTCTGTATTAAAAAAACAACTTATCTGTCTCCTGTAATACTCTAAATTTTAGGTTTTCTGTAGCTGTAAGTTATAATTACCAGTAGACAAACACAGAAATAGTGTTTTCCCATGAAAGGAACACACTGAAAAAGATATGAATCATGGTTGATCATTTGCATCAAAAAACAATTAAACATTTCATTCTCAGAATGGCTTGCTACATTAAACTTGGCTCATATCTTGAAAAGAAGTGTTAATGCTGAGTTATAAAATACATACCATAAAGCCTGCTAATTGTTTTCACTTTTCCAATCAGGTTTTTGATTGCTCCCAGCTCAACACTCCTCCCCCCCTCATGTCTGCCTGCGTCGCCCCTTCAAGCCGCCCAGACCCATTCAGGGCCGGACCTCACCCCACCAACAACCTGGGCAGCCCAAGCTGGAGACTCCAGAGCATGCACCCTCCTCAGGTGCAGCCAAGGTTTGTGGTCATCCAGCTCACACAGCAGGAGGACCAGGTTATTACCAACCTGTTGAAACTCCACCACCAGGAGGCGCCCCAGAGCAAGGAGAGAGTCACCGCTGCAAAGGCCGACTTCCCAGGAGCTTTAAAGTCAAATCCCAGAGATCTTAGCACAGGTTCACTGGAGGGGGCAAACAAGGTTTTCTGCATTGATGCGTCAGAGGAGCGACAGAAATGGTCAGACGCAGAGTATGAAGCTGCTAACACTCTATTGAGCAGCTTTCAGCAAGCGGAGGATTTAATAGGAAACGCAGCGATGCCTCCTGATCATCTGCAGGCCCAAACCTCTCAGACAGAACTAGAATGCCAAACTTTCCCACCATCAGTGACTTGTTGCAGTTCACAAAAAGGAAGCCGCATCAAGGAGAACGGAGACATCGGGTCTCAGGAGGATATGACCGAATGTCCAACAGGTTTTGAGAGCAAACTGGAACAAGAGAAGATGGAGGGCAGGTCAGAGGAGCGGACGCTGACAGACCTGGAAGGGGACGCTGTGCAGGTTCTGCTCAGCCTCAGGGAGGTGACGACTTTCGATGCCATCCAGTGATCGTGTCGAACCAAAGGATTGTTTTGGAATGAGTCTTTGATTTGGTAATGGAGGCCACAAACTGGGCAATTTATCCTCTGAAAAACCCCAAGACTTGAATTTATGTCATTCTTTTTGTTTTTACTGAGTTGTATCTTAAATATGTTCACGTTTGTACTGTGACATTAATATGTTGTGTTCAATAAAAATGTTCCCTTTACAAACACGAGACTAAGATAGTTTAATTTATTTTTTTAATTAAAAGTACAACCACTAGTTTAATCAAAACACCCTTTTACAATTTACATTTTTCAACATATTTACAGGCGTAGTATTCCAGCACAATCGGTTTTAAATATCCAGAGGCGATCAGCTGATCTTCACTCACTGCCTCAGTGACAGTCAACAGGATGTTTGAAGTAGCAGAAACGTGAGAATGTGCATGACTGAACGTTAACTGGTTTCTCAAGAAATGCAAAGAATGATTGGCATTTACAGTTTCCAGTCATAGTTAAAAGTGAATGCTGCATTTTTAGCATCTCCAATAAAAGATCTAATTTTAGTTCCGCGTCGCTTCAGTGGTAGAAGTTAGTGGATTAATTACAAGGTGTTTGCTGATAAACAGCGTTCACTGGGATCTTCCGTCTTATTGTCCTTAAAGCATATGTACGGTGCAGACGTACTCAGCGGACCTTGCCGTATTTCACCATCATCGTAGCCTGAGAGACCCTGTAGCGCTCCTTCAGGTTTCTTCTCCTGACGTGCTCGTTGGTGATCTCGATGACGTTCGCAACGGGGAACCAGCCCTTCTGATTGTCAGACAAACGCATTCCTTCGTACCAGCCTGGAGTTGAAACAACAAAAAATAGGAGGGGGGGAAGAAGGCGGACGGCAAACAAGGGAAGATTGAAGGTTTTTCTCTTCATGCAAGAAAGTCAAAATCAAAGTTAATAAACTACTAAAGGAAGGTTTGAGGATTAAGGGGGTGTACACATAAAGTCAAGGAATGGAGCAGATCAGTGAAACAAAAGCAAATCTGTTCATGTGATACAATTATTCAATCTATATTTGAATCTCATATTTGCAGAAAGAAAAAGAATCAAAGATGATGTTTTGAAAATGTCTTTGATGGTTTTTACCTTCGTTGGTTTTGCGGGTGACGTTAACGATCTCAGTAGGCTCCAGGCTGAGTTCGTCTGCTTGCTGGGCGATGTACTGCTCCACACACTGCACCTGAGGACAATCTGACACACACACACACAAAACCGTCAGAATGGAACAAGACCAAACACACAGGGTCTGTTTGTCAATGCTGTTCTCACCCCAGTCCTCATAAATCACTTCTTCATCGACGTCTTCTTTGGTGGTGCTGGGGAAAGCTGCCAACCATCTCTCCATGTCCGACCTGTTGACACAAACGAGCTTTGACTGGACTCTGAAGTAGAGCCTGGAGTTCTTCACCTCCTAATGACAAGATGAGAGCTTCTGATATGCTAACATGCAACGCGTCAGGGTTTACTGATGTTCCTCTTTGGGGGGCGCTGAATGACTGATCCTTTGCACAAATCGGATTTCATGTTTTTACGGGGTAGGTAAGGATTACCAGATTTCTACAATATCTTTCTTCAAATTCAGAACTTTACATCTACTCAGTATTAGATGAAATTGTCTTTTACTGAAGTTCTGACCAGTTCCTCCTGGTGGAACTGAGTCAGGGTTGTAGGTCATCTTTGTCTATATATTTTCTGTCTTACACTAAACGTTTACTTTATTGTCCTAAAGCAACTTTCTGGTAACCTTGGGATCTCTGTCCATTTGAGCCTAAGATTAAAACATGCTAGCTGATATTTTGATATTGGTCTAATATTTTCACATAATGCAGACGGCATCTTTCCTCATGATGCCATCTGATACTTCTTCTCTTCTTGGTTGATTTCTAATTAAATTTTGATCACCCAATCAGGTAGCAGTTTTATTTTCTCTCTCTGAGACCAACTCAGAGTTTTCTTGGCTTATGTGTTTGGGATCATTGTTTTGCTGAAAACCCTTCCCTTCATTTCATCTTCAGGTTCGAAATAACAACGTCTACGTATATTTCTCAATTAGTTGTTTTTTTTTTCCAAGTATGTGAAGTTGGCTAGATCCAAAAGGTTTCCATTGCCTCTTGAAGCCCTGCGTCAATCCCGTGTGAATTCCCCATCAACTTTTGAAAGGACTTTTCCTTCCACTCAACTTCCCCCGATATGCTGACAGGAGAAAACTTCTTTAGCAATGACCTTCTGTGGCTTTATTCCATGGATAAGCTATAATATGACATGTTTGTTTTAAAAAAAATCTCTTTTAAAGGTCTTATTTTTTTTCAAATGTTCAGAGAATTATGATTTTTAATTATCTGTATGAGCCAATATGAGCATTAAACTAAAGAGAAACACTTGCAACACATGATTTTATGTGTTTTAGTTTTTAAATTTCATCACTGAATCAAAGCTTATTGGGATTAGCTTTTATACATAAACACTCACTTGGTCGGGGCTTTGAGGACCCGCTCCATCGGGCGTCCCTGGTGGTTTTCCAGCATGACGAGGTTGAAGCAGTTCTCGTAGGCTGCGCCACCAAAACACTCATCCAAAGGCTGAGCCTGCACCAGAGATCGATGAGTGTGGTCCACCACGTACCGGTCTGAACTGCTCACAACAAACCAGAACCAGAGAGCAGAGCTCAGTCAACGGCAAACAGCTGAAAGGAGGTTTAATTGGAATTTAATTCATTCCAAAAAACAAAACAAACACAACAATAAACAATACAAAGCAAGCAGACATGTCACAGATGCCTCTTCTCTTAAATGCCTTTGAAAACATTTCCTGCTACATTTGAGGAAGTGTTGAGTCAATTCATGAGTGGTGACAGAAAGTCGAAGGCCTGCAGTGGTTTGTAGTCACATTTTTTCACAGGTGGAATGTTATGACGGCAGCATGACGAGGGGAAAACAGCGGGAGAAATCTCCCAACTGATTCTGAATACTGAAGCTGAGCCAAAGGAAAAAAAAACATTCAGACCATTTTCAACCTTCTGTGAGACCAGCAGTACAGCAAAGGTGGTTAAACACTGCTCAAGTTCTTCAAGTCATGAGTGGTAATTAATAAGGTAGCCTGTTTTCACTCTGATGGTTATGTAAAGACGATTATATAGTGGGGGAAAAAAAGAGGTACATCTTTCTATAGTGCATGTCGGTTTTTGAATTCAGTAGAAAGTAGTATTTTTTTAATGCATCATAGATAAAGTTTCTTCAAAAGCTTTTCTATGTTACCTTTTCTTGACGGTAATTATGAGGTGGTCGTTAAAAAGGAAGAGGTAAACCGCAGAGAACTTGGCTCTCATGTTCACAAAGGTTTTTGCTTTTGACATTTCTTGCAGCTCTCCCTTCTTCTCCAGAAATCGAGTCTCAGAGATGATGGGGACGGCCTGGTGAGGACAGAATGCAGTTTAAACTCTTCATAATTAACCAAACGGACATAAATGAAGGCATCCCTGTCTGCGCTTACCCTGAGCTTATCGAACTCAAGCATCTTCGAGATTTCAATCAGCTCCTCCATCTGCCTCATCTTTCCCACGTCTCTGTTACATTGATCAATGATCTGTGTCATTGATCAAGAGGGAAATAAAAAGTCAAAATGTTTATTTTGCTCTATAAAACAACTCCCTCTGCCACTTTAAATCATTCCTCACTCAGCAGGATATCCGCCTCCAACTATAGCTAATATAAGGTTTCCAGTCATGTAAAGCAGAGGGGAAAGTGGAGAGTAAGGCCTGTTTACCTTAGAGACAGAGGCCAGCGCCTTGGAGGCGGTCTGCTCCTCCAGCGTCCCCTCTTTTGTTCTCTTCAAGATGTTCTGAAACAACAAACAAGCTTTTCTTAAAGCAGCTCATTCTTTTCCATACGTATCCTGAACAGGTCGCGTGGTGGAGGTGAGGCGAGCCCACGTGTGTCAGGAGGCAGCGAGGATTCCTTTGGAGTGACAGCATTCCTCACAGTCACACAGCATGATGAACACAGACCGCTGCTGGTTAAAGGAAATAAATCGAGACCGGGAAGGGTCACCGGCTCTGAATGTGCTGACGGAAAATATTTAAAGCTTTTGGGAGCTAATTGTTTGAATTCTTCAGCTCACCACCTAACCCAGAGCCGAACAAACCCGTTTAGAAATATATGTCACCTGTACAGAACATCATAATCATCACACTTAACACATTTGGCACACATATATGAGTGAAATATGTTTTTTTATGCAACTTTTTGCAAAAGTTTTAAACCACCCATCATTTCTTTTTTTTACACTTTGAACCATGAACAAGACTTTCTGTTGACGTCTAAATAGTCTAGATTATTTCCAGGTGTTTTTTTGTGACGCTCAATGCAACTTCACTCTCTGGTAACAGGAAAATACCATCAGACAAATGGTGAATCATGTCTTCAAAAACTAAGGGAACAACGTACAGGAAATACCCGACACAGGACCTGAAATCCTGCATAACTTTGCCATGTACTGTAAACTCACTGGTCAGATTATCATCCGCTGTTTACTAAGCTTTCAGCTAACAGCCATGAGTTATCTTTGATATTTTTATAGATTTAGCTAAATAATATGAGTTTGTGAAGAGGCCTACTTTCCCATGTTCTTCATATTTCAATATTCCAACTATTTCATATTTACTTTAATAGTCGTCTTGATCAACTTTTATAAGTGTATTTATTTCCCTTTAGAACAAAGGTTTAGAACAGTGACAATAGTGTGCCAGAGCCTGTTGTTGGTGTGTTTTTAAATGAGTGAATGTCTCTAGATATTGTGATAAATGCAACATGATGTATTTTACAGCAGAAACCCATAATTTCTATTATGTGCTCCAGACGCAGCAGATGACCCTGGTAGGTTGTCATTTTCATTTAAATCTGAAACAAAGTTAAAAGGCGTAGATATATTTTTTTAGAGAGAGAGCTACAAATGTAGCTCTTTATGAACTAGACAATCTTTTAGATTGCAATTATTTTATGATGCAAATACTGCTTAAAGTTTAAAGTGTAAGCACAACTCAGACTTCCACCCTTTTTCTGTCTTTAAAATCCAAACCAGCATGATGCTGCTCACCTCGATGAGCATCTTGATGCGTGTGATTCGCTGGAAGGGCAGCAGCAGAAAGGAGATGAAGGGCAGCCGCTGACACTGAGGCAGCTCCTGAAGGCGGTTGATGACTGTGGCGAACTGTTCATTAGTCTTCCTGCAGGTACGCAGAAAATCAGATTACGTCGCATCAGCTTTAGTGTTCCTGCAAGTCACCCTGATTTGCTGGCCTTCCAAACAGCTGCTGATCGTTTCTGGTGATGTGAAAGTTGCTTCTTACATGAGTCGGCTGAAGGTCTTTTCCTGGTAGGTCTGGTTGCGGACATAGTCGATGTAGGTGGAGAAGTTGTGCTGGGCGTGATAGTGGAGGATGTTGCATATATCTGGGAAAACAATCTCCTTGAAAATGTGCTCTTCGAGGTCTTTCCGGAACCTGCAGCAAAAGGTTTTATGACATATCTCCAGATAAGAGCTCCAGCTGCATCAGGATTTCTTTTCTGCATTTCTCATGGTGTGACCTCTCACCTTTCGCTGACCTCGCGGACCTTCAGGATGTTCTCAACTTGAGAATTGGTGAAGGATGAAGTGCTCAGTCAGAACGTAGAGGGACCGCAGGTAGGAAGTCTCGGAGGTCAGGACCTCAAACATGCTCTGCCAAGAAGAATCAAAGTCAAACACTGAAACTTAGAACAAAGTTACATTACTTCTCCAGTCTTGTTTATGTTTCCAAGAACTGCCAAACATCCTGTACTTAAGATGATCCTTCCACCGAAATGTTACCAATAAGTGAGTAAATATTTCAATATATTAGAATATTGTATCAACAGCTTACTTTAAAAAGTAAAGTGTTTTATACACGTTTTATCCATGATTCACTAACTTCCCTAGCCCTTTTAAGAAATTAGAAATACAATTAGAAATTGTACAAAATGTACAAAAGAAAATCACACATAAATTGTATGGGTTGTCAACAGCGAATGGCTAAGATGTACATTAACCAGCCAACTGGTGATAAATTAGAAATCACCCATAATAGACTCAAAAAAAGCTAGCTAGCCTTTCCTGGCTAGTTAGTAAGGCTATATTAGCAGCTAAGGACCGGTAGACGTAACCGTCCCAAGTCACAGACGATGTCTCTGTCCCAAGCAAATGTTTGTCTAACAGCAAAGTTCCATGAAAAAAAAAAAACAAGCAAACTACATAGAATATACAAAATGAAATATTCCTTCCACAACAAATTAAAAACCTGTGATTAACATATTTAAAGCCTTTTTCAATGAATTTAAGACTTCTTAAGGTTTTAATTTTAGGTAAATTAATCTAAGATGTTTTAAGACCTATTAAGGATCCACATGTACCTGCTATATCAATTCATTAAACATAAAGCGCTATGTGTCATGTGTTACATTATGGTAACAGTCATGGGAAAAACTGCTCATGTGACAGTCACCGACACTCAAAACACAGATATTGCTAAAACATGAAAAGTGAAAGGACTCTATGAAATACATGAGAGTCACTTTTAAAAAGTAAGACTATGACTTGTAAATAATAATTGGCCTGCTTTCAGCGTATTTGTCCTCCTCACCTCCTGATACTTGATCTGGTCAACAGTGAGCTGCTCCAGCAGTCCACTGTCCTGTACAGTTGGCTGTTCCTGCCACAAGGTGGGTTGACTCACTGTGGGCACAGGGCTCACAGTGGGCACAGGCTCCCTCTGGCGACATTTGACTTCCCAGATGGTTTTTCGCTGAAGTGCGCCACAAATTCCATAGCATAATCCATGCTAGTTTTGCTGATGTTTCGGATTACGGTCTGTCGTTGAATCTCCTTTTGGATTGCGAAGTCGTTGTACGTTTGGTACAGAGGCTCTGAGGTGAGACAAATCCACGTTTAGGATGAGTTTAGTTTGCATTGTTACAAAGACATGGTTAAGAAAAGAACATGAATCCCTTCAATTAAAAAGCAACAATTACCTTATTTATATTCAAACACAACACAGGTGACAGCTAGGTGTATTTCTGTCTACACACGGCGTCCAAAGTGTAAACAAAAATAAAACAAACCGATAAACTTCCCTTTGATATTTATCTAGCATTGCATGACGTCCACAAAGTAAATACTATGTAAGTAGCCTGTATAATGAAACATGGTTTCAGTTTCATTCTGAAACAGATCAAACTCAGTAAGATTGGAAGAAGAGCATCTGTGAACTCCAATATTTTAAGTCTTGCTATAGATTTCATATAGGAGTTAGGTCTGGTCTTTGACTAGGCCTTCCTATTATATGAAAATGCTTTGATCTAAACTATTGTAAACCATAAAATCCCAATAAAATGAACCACTGAATAGGATGCGTCTCATTGTGCAAGGCTATTGTTTATCTGCACACAGACACAACCAGAAGAAGTTGCTATACAGACTTGCATTTAACCAGACGTGCTTTCAGCTCCACTTGCAACTTGGATCACTTGTGTTAATAATGACACTTTACTGATGTATCTGAGCCTTACCGTCTGTCAGGCACAACCTGAATGAAGACTTCCTTCTGACTGGAGACCTGAAACATAAAACACAAAGTGAGACGTGAACAGTTATCACAGCTTCTTTTACTTTTGTGGGGAACTGTTGGATCAGTGACATCATGTGTTGTAATCACCCATTGTTGCTTAGAAAAATCACAATGTCGGTCAGAAATGGTTTGTTACCAATTGTAGTCTGTTCACATGGACTATGTATAGAGGGGTTGTTATGGAAAATTGACTTTTATGAGTTTTATATCACATTATAATGTTATTTCCTCAACAAAAACATTCCAACGCTCTTAAGAACGGTTTATAAACAGCATAACAGAGGAGCATTGTTGTGACAAAGTGCTGAAGGTAGGGCATTGGAAAGGCATGAGCTTCTTAAAGAGACAGAGGCCAATTTTGAGGCGTTAAATCAAAAAGCCAAATTTTTAAAAGTTATGTTTGACGCAACATTTTCATAACAACTGGAGGTAACGTAGTTACTTGATAAAGCTATAAAACAGCTCAGATACATAATACAAAACTTGAAAACTTACGGGTCTGTGTCTTCTTTCTCTCCATTACTTTTATTTTCTTCTTCTATTGTAAAAAAAACAAGCATTGGTTCAGATAACGAGCAATTCAGCACAAGAGGAGATTCTGATCTCGCTTAAAGTACAAACCTGACAAGCTGGCAGACTGTATCGACACATTGCTGGTCCTCCTGGAGTGGGTCTTCGGTGGAGCCGGCGGGGTCTGTGAGGAAGCAGAGGGCTGCACGGAGGAGATGTTTTGGGGGGTTGCAGTCTGGCCCGACTGGGTGTGAGGTTGCTGCCATTGTAGATCGGAGAACCGTTCACAGGACCCTTGGTGGTATGGCGGGTGGTTCCGTTGTGTTCTCAAGCTCAGGTGTGGCGTTCGAGGTGCTGCGGGCAGGTTTCTCCCGTCGAGCTGGTTGGCGTATTTTTATTTGAGGAACTTCATGCAAGTCAACCCTCGAAGATGAAAGTTTTCTCGCGCCCCGATCATCATCAGGTAAATGGCGCTCGTAGATACTACTCCCCTCATCATCTTCTGCGGTATGGCTTGGGACCGGTGGAGGCTGAGGATTATTTTGAAGTAAAGGCTGACAGCGAGTAATGGCAGCCACAGAACCGTGCTCTGAAAGTTTTTTCAGACCCCCAGCCAGCGCAATTTCCAGAGACTGATGGAACTGTGATTTTGCCATTTTCACATCTTTTGGTGCATTCTTCACTTCATTTTCTCCCTCTTTAATCTTCTCACCAACCTTCCCACCAGATTCTCCATCATCTTCCACAGGATGGAGCACAACCTGTGGAAGATGATGTGCTCCATCTGCTGCATTCACTTCAATCTCCTTTGGCTGTTCAGCTTCTGTCTCTTCTCTCTGAACATGCACTGTTTTCTCTGCTTCTTTTGGTTCTCCCTCCATCCCCTCTTTGAACGCTTTCTCTCCTTTCTGCTGTTCCACTTCATTCTTTTCATCGTGTTCATCCCTCTTTTTCTCTGAGTGGTTCTTTTCCACCTTATTCCCTGCTGCCTTCAGCTCCCCCTCCGTCTTCCATGCTGGTAATTCAGACTCATATTCTTGTTCCTGTCCTCCAACTTCCTGTTGCTCTCTTTGCAGCGCCTCTATTGGATTTGCTTTCTGTCCCATCATATCTTTCTCTTCTCTGCGCTCTTCCCCGTTGATCTGACCCTCCCCACCTGGAGAGTTTTCATCCACAGGCACCCATATGAGCTTCATGCCGGGTCTCTTTAGGTGACACACGCAGGTGCAGGATTTGTTGCAGCACCTATTGAGAGGAGTATATAGCATGTCCTCTGCGTTTGCCTCAGCCGCTCCTGTCCCTTGATCCTCCACCTCCTTCCCATCAGGTGCTGGAGACACACAAGAGGTAGAACTTCATTTTTGACTGGTTTCATGCCATCTTGCCCCTCCACCCCCATTTTTGACATTTTTTAATGAGCTTTCTGCATTTCATCACTACAGTTTCTGGGAAAAGTATTCATAGCTTTTAAGCCTTTTTTATATTTTATAACCACAAGCTTCAACGTATTTTGTCAGAATTTATTCAGAGACCAAGACAAAGTAATGCATAATTGACAAGTGGAAAGATTTGCGTTCAGCTCTCTGGCAGGAAAAGCTTTTAGTGTACGTAAAGCTGCAAGTCTTTTGGGGGAAGACATCTAGACACTGAACTCTTCTCACCACTCTTTGCAAAACAGATTTGATGAAGAGCATCTGTGAACATCTATCTTTAAAGTCGCACAGATTCTAAATGGGATTAGCTCTAGAAAGCATCTCCAAAGCATGATGCAGCTACCACCGTGTTTTATTGTAGTGATAGTGTGTTCAGAGAGCAGTGATGTAGAGTCAGTTTTCTACCACACTTGTTTTGTTTTGGTCTACCACTCAATATATGCATTGAGGTCTGTGGTTGTTATGTAATGCTAAAGGTTATGAATACATTTGCAAATAAAGTAATGTTGTACATGATTCTCTTTAGCGAGAATAGTTGGAGCATTCCAGGAAAAAACTAATAGAGGTCAGAAAGTCAACATGAAAACAACAATAAGAGGGGGAAAAAAATTATTAAAAGCTGATTGCTTTTCTTCCCCTGGCTATTTCCTACAGTTCCTGCACCGAAACAATTCAATATTTTTAGGTCAGTGGAGCCAGGGCTTCCTCCCCCCAGTGGGACATGTCTGCAACTCCGCCCCTGGAAGCCATCCTGAAGGCATGTGGCTCATGTCCAAACCCTTTAAACTGGTTCATTCAAAAGGAAAAGAGTAGCAGCTCCTCCAATAGACTCCTCCCAAACAGCTGAAATCTTACACGTAGATCTCAGACATAAAACCGTAGGCGAGGGTTGGAATGCGGATCAGCGGCTTTACCTTCATTTTGGCACCTTAGCTTCTCCTTTACTAGACAGAGTGCCTCATTCCTAACCCTGAGCTGGTTGGCCACCTTTGGCAAAGGCAGATCATGTTAGATAGAAAATCTCATCCATTAGTGCAGTAATACTTTGAATGTGAAATAACGTAGTTTAAATCTACATGCAGAGCTCCAGAAAAAGTCCAAAAAAAGAAAAACATATCCACAAGCTGCAGTTCTATTACTCAAAAGGAGGATATATTTATGAATGCAGACACTAAACTGATATTTATATTTTTTTAACAAGGACTTTTCCACAGAACCACAGGAAAATATGGCCTTTGACATACTGGACGTGTCCAGTATGTCCTTAGTCTTTGACATGTTGGACATTTCCCGTCCAGTACTTCAGGTCATCTGAACTTTTTGGCAGTGCATGCTTTCAAATTTATAAACAGCTCTTGCCACTCCTATTTAAATTTCTCTCTGTCAACCTTTACCTCAAAATAATCCTCAGCCTCCACCAGTCCCAAGTCCATTATCATCCATGGAAGAGATGGTGTCAACTTCTGCTTCTGTTTACAGCCACAAAGTTTAATTTTCAACACTTTGGGGGTCATGGGATTTGGGGTCATAGTTCAGGTATTACAAGTTTTTGAGTCAATAATCAACTCCTAGTTGTAAAAACGATAAAATCAAAACAAAAAGAATATATCGGAAGTTACTGAGCTACTCCAACATGCTGTCACCATTAGCGGTGCAATTAGGAATCCCTCAAGTTTAGGAGCTTTTATTTGTGAGAATGAGTCACTAACAGAAGACTTTAGTGGTTTTGTGACAAAAAACAGAGTATAAAATATGCTAAGAGATTCCCTTGTTATATCAAGGCAAAAGTAATCCATGAAATATCATGTGACCTATTAATGAACCTCAGCAAAAATACGATTATATAACAACTGTTTCATTTTTACCGAGGTTAGATTATTAAATATCTAACCCGAGTCATAAATATTTGTGGTTCTCAGGAGCAGAAGCAGACTCTGCTGTTCCTTGTCTAAAGTCAGTCAGTCGGGTTGGCAGAGCAGCTGAGCTGACTGACCTGTTTACAACTGTCAGAGCAGAAAAGTGGAGAGTGCCGAACCTGTCCATCTATCTGTCTGTCAGCTCCCTGACTTTACTGTACATTTTAGATGTGAAAACAATTCATACCAGACTGCTAAGTGCTCCTCCATGCTTCACGCTGCATGTGCATTTTATTAGATTTTTCAGCTTATTTTGCTTTTTTGTGTATTAAAAGTTGGAAAAAGAAAATAACAAATTGTGTTGCTTACTAAAATGCACTGAAAGAAGAGTCTTGAAAGAGTAAATGAAACTTTTTCTTGTCAAATATATTTTAAGCATGGGTTTAAAACGAGCCTGCGTTCAGAGTTCAATGTGAAACTGCTATCAGCTCAGGCTAAACTGCAAGTTGTGTGTGAAACAGTTGGAAGATACAGGAACTGAGAATCACATGGGGGCATAACATGAAGATGAGATACAGTTTTTGTGGTCTCATACTTACATTAAAGACCAAATGTTTGATAATTATAACTGCAAGTGAAAGCCTTGGTCCTACGTTGATACTAGTGGTTTCGGTTAGTGCAATGCGTTGCATGGAGGAAAAGTTTGGTTGGTTAAGAAGACAGAGGAAGAGTCTTAAACCAACGGAAATGTTTTTTTTTTATTTTAGAACAGGTGACCTGGGTGTACTGGAACAAAACTTAAAGTGGAATTGAGATGCTTTAGCACATTCACAAATTCATTTCAGTCATCAGATATTTCCCAGAGCACTACCTCTCTGACCAACAGATTTCTGGCTTGTTCATCAGGAGCGACTGATGAAGGGGCTAACATAAAATGACCCCTTAGAAAAATACCCAGATTCCCAGAAAATGTTTCAGGATGCACCAAGACACATCCCGCCATTTTGAATCACAGACTTGCTCGGTTGCCGTACCTGATCGTCGTTTGTAAATGTTCATGCCTTCACTCTCCTCTCCTATGCTCTCCGCTCGTCTCTGCACAAAGCGGCTCCTCTTCTTGGGGAGCGGCGGTGCCTCGGGTTTGGAGACGATGCTGTCAGGTTTGGGTCTTGTCTCAGGTGATTTTTTTCACCTGCGTACTTGGCGAGAGTTCTGCGGCACCATTCACCGGCTGCTCTCCTGCTGCTTTGATGGAGTCCTGCTTGGTGAACCTTTTTGCTATTTTCTTCACCTTTCCCTGCGTGGAGTCTCCTCCCTCAACTAAAGAGGAGGACCTACGTAGCAATCTAAGAGGGATTTCTGGTTTTGGTTTGACCTCTGGCTTGAGGGACGGCACAGGCCGTTCCTGGTCAGACATCGCAGCGGATGATTGCTTTCGGTTTCAGGAAAGAGTCAGAGGACTGGGATGTATGGGAGTTTCATCATCACCTGATGAAAGATAAAGGCAAAAAGGAACATTTAATGAGTGTCTTAAGCAACTTTTTACAATAGGGCAATAAAGGACTCATGACTCAGCGACATCAGGATGTGATCCTGGATTCAGACTTTGAGCTCTGAGCTATAAATCTGTCTGAGGAAGAACACAGGATCTGCTCTGCTTGAGGTCCACTCCTTTCCACTGAACACCTATTTTAAACTCAAGATAACGTCAAAACCAGCTCAACTGGGTATTGATTATTCTGTTTGCATCGCTACAGATACAAATCCTGTGACGTTTTCATTGTTTCTGATTCAGATTCCTTCATGTTCTTCTGAAACTTTTTACAATGTTAATTATTCACAGCTGAAAGCACTGCATTAATTATTCATTTACTACTTTATAGCCCTTTAGTTTCAGCAGCATCAGGGAAAAAATATTGATCAGTAATATCACACTGCAAAAAAATCCCACAAAATCTTACCAAGTATTTTGATTTTCTAGTGCAAATGCCTTGAATACATTTGAAATAAAACAAAATTAATTTATAAGCAACGTTTTATCATTAGAAGCTTAAGTGAATAATTCCTTAATTTTGATGAAAAAGTGTCTACTATAGATGAAAATCTGCCAATAATCTTTTTCATTGTTTATTTAAAACAAGCTCCTATATTGTGCTAAATAGTTTGCATTTATGTTAGATTTGTCTTTGTGTTTTTGCAGCACTCACATTTCATAAAAGGGCAACACTATATATTTA